CAGAGAAATGCAGTGGCGCGCAATGAATTGGAAGTTGATCTGTCAGTTATCCTTATCTTCAGGGCAGATGTTTTTATTTTATTTGGCTTATAATTCCTTACTAAATGTAGCATTTCATCTCAATGTACTCAGTCTTTGATATGATTTAAATCAAATTCCTTGTCATTATAATTCGCTTCTGATAGTGAAGAAAGTGACACAGAGGTTACTGAAAACGAAAGAATTTCGATTGACAAATTAGTCAGTATTCTCGACACAGCAATTGTAGGACTTGAACAACGGAACTTTGTAACCGAACAAGAAATTATGTCTGTTTATAGAATTAAAGAGAAAGTATTATCACATAAAACAAAGCAACTTAAACAAAACTCATTGAAATAAATGTTTAATAAAGTAAACAAATAAATATTAAGTTTCTTTTTTTTTTTTTTTTTTTTTTTTTTTTTTTTTTGTAAATTTGGATACCCTTTAGATCATAATTGTTCTTTATTTCATAAATTACGGTTTCATATTTTAATTTTATAATTTCTGCATGCAATCTTACCAGATTTAAACTGATGATCTATAATCCGGAATCGCCGAAGTCCCGACGAGTCCGGATTAACGATTTTTGACTGAATATATTTTTTATCATATTCTAGCAAGCTACACATATATATATATATACACACACACACACATATATATATATATATATATATATACACACACACACACACTGAAGAGCCAAAACATTATGACTACCTACTTAATAACGAGTTGTGCGATCTTCGGCCTGCAAAACAACTGCAACTCGCCTTCAAATGGATGCCTCAAGTAGTTTAATTCTTGGTAGATGACTAAGACAGGTTTTATCAAATATCTAAGCAGAGGTAATGCAAAGTCGAAATATTCCGAACTGACGGTGTTTGAGCTCTGAGCTGCCGCTCCATGACGTTCCAAATGTGCTTTATCCGGTTATGATAAGGCATGTTAGGTGGCCAAGACATTAACTGGGATTCATCCTTATCCTCCTCGAACCATTTCAACACCATTCAAACCTTGTGACATGGGGCATTATCCTGCTGGAAGATTCCATTTCAAGTTAGGAACACAGATGCCATGTAAGGATGCAACTGATCCACAACTACGTTCAGTTAGTCCGCGGCTTTCATGGTCTATTCTATAAGAACTAAGAGTTCTTATAGCCGCTTATGAGAACATTCCTCATGCATAATACCACCTCCAACAGCCTCTGTATGACCTACTGTTGGAGGCAGGGGCAACTGTTCATCTAGAAGGCAGCATATCCTAATATGACCATCAATGTGAAGAACAAGAAACTGTGATTCATCCGACAAGGCAATTGTCTTAGCTTTGGTCCAGTCTTGATGTTCCCAGATCCAACAATGTGTCCACTGAACTGTATGCTCCAAAACTCTTTTACTAGGGCTTGCATTGTACTGGGCTATCAGTTGAGCCACTGACTGATGCTGATTTTGCTGTACCAAGTGAGAAATTCTACAGCATCTTTTTTCCCTTGATCACACATGAACGTCCAACACCTTGGCATCTACTGCTGGTTTCACTATCATTTATCCACTTTACATAAATACTATCAACAGCAAATCATGAACAACCTACCAGTAGTGCAGTTTCAAAGATACTCATTCTGTGTCTTCAGCCCATTACAATTTACTCTCTATTAAATTAGCTTAGATCAGCAGCCCTGCTCATCACTCACAAAAGTAAGAGCAAGAATGATTCCTTACCTTCCCCAGCAGCAGCTTTGTTGCTGGTTGTATGGAGAAATTCCATTTCCCCATGAAAAGTCAGGATTTTTCCATGCAATCAGCAATGACTCTTCTGTTTTATTTTACTATTTCACTTTTTAATTTACACTGCTGTTTCTTTATTCATTCCAATTTTATTTTTGCAATAGTGCATATGATTTCAAAAATGCTTTCTTAATTGCCAATATTTACCATAACAGAACACTTTTGTATTCTAAATTTCACTTCTAATTTTCTAGGAGATAATTTCCTTTATTTTTGCATAACTGTATTGAAGTTTTTGCAGAAATTGCACAAGACTTTACTTTTTAATCACTCTGAATAAAATTTCAAATAAATAAATAAATTCATTCATTCATACATTCACACATCACAAAAAATCCCTTTTGAATTCATTTTAAATCCATTTTACAATCCATTTTGGGAAAAAAAAATAGTCCTTTTTTGTGTCTGTACATTATGCATTATATCTCTATATTATGCAAAAAATATCCAAATGGATTTGGGAATGGTGAAAATGGAAATTTCTACTGAAACGCAATAGCCATAATATTTTGCAATTACAATACTTCCTTTGCTTCACACAAGGACAAAAAAGGAAAATTAGATACATAGGCTGTCCTATAAATATTAATACAACTTTCAAGCGCAGGTAGAGCCCGTCAGAAGGACTGAGAATTGCATAGAAACCCCATAATTGCAAGCATCACCATACACCTTTAAGGGCTGCTGTTCACAAGGGCTCTTGATGGGAGATAACTGATTTTTCTTTATTCGAGCAGTAGTCACCTTAAGAAGAGTATCTAACATTATAGAAACAGGGAGACAGCACACATGCATTTAGTGTATGGATTGGCTGACGACAATGAGGAAGCAGTTCAACGAGTGTATTGAGAATGGTTCCCACAAAAGAGATATACTGGACCACCATTTATTTACGAATGCATATCACAATTTGTGTGAATATGGGTCTTAATGAGCAGTTCGCATATGACGGCAGGCAACAAGTGGACTCTTATGCCCTACATGGAACATTAATGTCTTGGATACTGTAGAGAGTAATCTGGGTATTATTATATGTGCTTTTGCAGCTGCCACAGGAGAATCACAGAATAGCATACATTACATTTTACAAGCCGAATCCTTACACGTATATCATCTCCAAAGCCACTGCTCCTCATAGAAGATCCTATACACATGTGTTTTGTGCAACGATATCTCCAACAATGTCCCTACGATGTTTATTTCCTATTTGTGCTTTGTTTACTATAAATGTATTTCACACGGGATGGTGTTCTTAACCAATACCGTGTACACCGTGCACAAAAAAAAGGGGGGAAGTTCTATATCTTCCATTCTACTGGGCCAGCTAACAAAGTTTAACTTGTGTTTTTCATGTCTCGAAAATGCGATTTATGATATTTATCATATAATGTACATACTTTTTTCAAACATAGGTATTTTGACACAGACTTTTTCTCAAAACGCATACTAATTTTTTTCAAGATTTTGATTCTACAACTTGAATTTTGCCGAACTGCCAGGTTTCGTAAAATTTGCATCAGTGGATTTTAAAAAATTAGGTCTAAAAATTTTAGTTCCTCAATGTTAATTGAATTTGGTATTATTTACTAACATCTCTTTTTTATATTACTCAATTTCTTCTTTCACAATTTCCAATTTAGGTTCAATAAAAATAAAATTCGCATATACTTTATGGTTTACTTTTAAAATTTATGTCTTTTAGTAACTTTTATAAATTTTTTAAAACATTTTTTAATTATAGCATTAATAATTTTTACATCACCTTAAACTAGCTGTATTTCTAGGCATGCCTGCAAAAAATTAGTTTATTTAAAATTTTCCACGATGTATGTGAACTTATACACTGGAGCATTTTGAAATTTGGAATGTTTGCTACAAGTGATAATAATGCCAAATGTGTTTTATGCACTTTTGTTAAAACTATTTCAAAGACTGAACGAGGAGCTCAAGCGACCTCCATGGAGTGAGACTGCATGATGCTTAGCATTACATTTCAGTGAATGTTTGGGATCATTTGGTCGGTGATTGCTTGGTTCTGCCTTACCTGTTACCATCATCTATGACACCAAATTGTCTCATCTTTTTGGAACATGAGCAACCAGGTTTACTTCAATTTGCGCCACAAAATGCGAGATGCAACATGTGGTTTCAACATGACAAGGTACCTTCTCATTATGCAAGATGTGTTTGGGGGCATCCGAGAATGTTGTGTGGTCTATGATGGTCTGGCTGTGGTGGACCCAAAGCCTGGTCCTCATGTTCTCTGGATCCCAGAGATAGCATGGTGTGAGGGTCTGCAAGCACTTAAAAACTGTTATGTATGAAACACTGTTGAGTCTGAAATGGATCTGGATGAAAAAATTGTTTTCACTGCTGCAGATATTCAAGCAAATCCAGACATTTTTAACCATGTATACCAATCTACAGTCCATTGCTGTAGTGCACGCATTGCTTGCAATGGCAGAAACTATTAACATGTTTTTTAATATTTTGAACCATCTTCTACCACAGCATATATAATATGTTGTTATTGTTACCAATCTCACTTGTCTGACAAAGGTTAACACTAGCCCACAAAATTAATCGTGCCAAGGAATCAAATGTGCTTTTCTTTGACAAGAGCCTTGAGCACAATATAGGTGACAGCTCAACTTTAGCTCAGTTCCACCCACTAATTTTGAGGAAGAACACCCCATGGGGAATGGGTGTGAGGGGTCTGCCACAATCATATTTCCTATCAACAACCTCTCAAGAAGACTTTCGAGTAGTTACATATTTAGAATGCCCCCATGCTGTGCAGACATTATACATTTACAAACATCCATGCCATCTCTGGAATTTAAAACTGGGCACTTTGGTTTGGCAGTCAAACTCATTAACCATTATCCTAGTTGGGTGGCATATGCAACATTTATAAGCAATATATACTTCTGTCTGTATCACTTTATATCTTATATCTCTAATACCACTGCTGCATGACGTTTCCATTCAGAGGTTCCCATGCAATTCTCAATCCTTTTCATGTGCTCTACCTCCCCTTAAAGTCTATACTAATATTTATGGGGCACTCTGTATAATACTACTGCTAGGAGATACAGAAAGTTATTGACAGCTGGAAAAACTACTCCTGTATCATATTAATTATAAACATTCTGAGTAGCAAACAATGGAAGAAAATTTTACCTGTCTTAACAAGCTCCATTAATTTTCCTTCATCCATAAGTTCCTCATGTTGTTTTGGATCATTCAGTATTTCTTCCCATTTAATAGCAGCAGATTTAATGCATGGTGTGATTTCTTCATAGTTAAGTTTCATACGCTTGTATGATGCAGCATCTTGATTAACTATCATAAAGAAAATTAATCATTATATGCATACAAAACGCAATGAACAGCTTAATGGATAAAAAAATGAAGTAGAGAAATTGAATACAGCTAAAACTGAGGTTTCCTTTCTCAAATGTGTATTTGCAAGAAATTGAGCAACTTTAAAGATTAAAACAGATAAATTACATAAAGATGTCCATAACATTATAGTCATTTTCTGAAAAAAGAATAAAAAGCATAAAGCAATATGCTAGTATTTAACAAGGTGACTTGCAAACTAATTTCGATGCAAAAATACTGCACTTGTGTAAGCCTTTAGTTATCAAGTCATGTCTCACTCTTGAACTCAGAAAATCAATAATAAATATAAATGGTGGGTTTCATTTACACTTTGATGACTTTGACAAACTTCTTCAGTTTTAATCAAATGTTATTACCATTTCTCCCTGGACTATTATGAACTAAATCAAATAGCCAAATATATGCACATTATTTTAGTACAGAGGGTAAAGAAGATAACAAAATTACTGAATTGCTATTCTTATTGTTATTTATTCATCTGACATGAATCAGAATCTAAATCAAGTCCACAAGTTCACCATGGCTAAGAGGAAGACAGCACCTGTTATTGGGCAGGATCTTGGACATCTTTTAGGTGATCGTAAAGTTTTCACTGGAACCATTCCAATTTTGATTGAGAACAGCCTAGGGAATGGAATAGAAAGTTCCAATTTCCAACCACCAATCACTCAAGGGATCTTTTGGTTTGACAAATTCTTAACTGCCCCCAAGCTACAAAGGCATGACACATATGCAAAGATTTATGCCTTCTTCGAGATCTGAATGTGCGCCTTATGCTATTGCAGCAGTTTCCATTAACAACCATTTTCAGCAGAGTTAAATATTTGAAGGAATTCTGATGTCAACCATTTTCATATTACTGCATAACATAATTTTAAGGAAAATGAGAAAATTGAAATTAAGATTACACAAGAATGGGTAATGCATGAAAATGAATTATTTTGGAAAGAACTAAAGAATGGAAACTAAAGAAAAATTACATGTATATATGAATATACTTGAATGCATTCAAACATAACATGAAATGATAAATAAACAAAATACTAAAGCAATAGAAAATTAATTTGAATTTGAAGCTTTGTTTTCTAAACAACATATGGTAATCTACTATGATCACAGAACCATATTATTATGCAAAAGAAAATATCAACATCATGTAAATTATTTCAAAGTTAGGTCGTTAAATTTCAATACCAAAAATAAAAGTGTAAAATGTATGCAAAGTAAATATGGTGTAAAAACATCACACAAAATTTACGGTATTGTGGTCATTAATAACTTTTTACATTTGAAATAAACATGAAAAAAGTTTAAGACTCGAATCACAGCAAAAAAGGGTTAATTTTGCACATGGAAATAATTAAAGATAATGAAAATACATAGGTCAAATATCAGATTCTCAAAACCCGTACTTAATTATGAATTCCCAATATAAAACATTAATGTGGCCATAAACAGATACAGAGATATACTGGACAACAAAAATTAAAGAATAAATTGCAATATGTAACTTGACACAGAAATATCAATTAGATATTCTATGAAAGTAAATACATATGCTGATTTAAAATTTCAGAAGTTGAAATGATATATTTGTGCTTTTATTCATGCACAGAATAAGAAAACAAGAATAAATTATGATTTTATAAGAATTTTGATATCGTTAAACACGCCTTAGACATATCAGTTAAAAGAATGTTAGCAGTAATCAGGGCTTGGTAAACTGCAAGCTGGTCAGCAGCAGTTAGGCATGTCTAAAGGCTTATTCAAAAACTTGCCATTTCAAGGATACAAAGGCATTTCTTATTGCTAGAAATGTTACTCACCATATATCAAGATCATCTAAAGGCTATCGCTGCATCAGAACACCATTATCTGTTTTAGTGGGAAGCTGGTATCACTGTCCATCTACATTACCACTTAATTACAAGGCAACCAATGACTTACATGCCCCTTTCAGTGAAGAGAGTTAAAAATGCAATTCCTTGCATTGCTTATAATGACACAATTAATGTAATAATTTGTGTCTTTTAATTTCTGATTAAATTTAAATACTGATTTTCAATTTACTTTCACCTGGAGTGAATCTAAACATACAACTATTCATAAAATATCCATGAAAGATCTAATTTTATGACTCTGATTTACTGTTCTGAAGAAAAAACCATGATAAATAAATGCAAAATCTGCACATTCACAACAGAGGCTCTACGGCCAGCCAAAGGTATAAAGACGATATGCTATATCATCTTTGTACCCAGCCAAGTTTCTATGGAGGCTGAAGGCAGTTTTGCCTTACAACCAACATTACCCAGACTAGTAGAAAGATGAATGTCTTCACAGTAAGGATTTCAATCGCTCAGACAGACATGCACATTCACCAGATCTCAGTCCAGTCAAACATATATATCTAGGATGTCTCAAGCTGCAAAGTTCTTACATGGCAGCACTTCCTCCAAATCTGCTTTTATAGGAAAGAGAAAAGAGAAGGAAGAAAAAAGCAAAGAAAAGATAAAAAGAGAAAGTCCTACAAAATATTATTTATAGACTAATTTTACAGAATTTCATTCACAGTCTCCTACAAGATGTTATTTATAGTCTAATTCTACAAGATTTCATTCCTAGTCTGACTCTACATTGCCTGCATACTAGTTTCTGATCGTATGCAATATCAACTGTTTATATCCATGATAGAAATATCATTATCTGCCAATTTCATAGTCATGAATATAATCATGCATTAAACATTTCTACTACACAGCACGTAAACAGCAAAATCTATCATTATGATGAAGCTAAAATAGAAGATGCTCCTTTTCACAGAACACGAGCAATTTTAAATTTCTGTGTTGCTCCTTAATTTTGTGTCACAAGATATTTGTTAAAGATAATAACATTTAAATTGTTACTAACCTTGCAAATTTTTGTTTTCCTTTTCCATTCTTATCAATAGAATTTGTTCAATTATTGCCTTTCTCCACAAAGCACGTAATTCTTCTTTAGTTTTTTTCCTTTCCCTTTTTGGTACTTTTTCTCCTGGACTCTCAGTTTCATGGTTCCTTTCATGATCATCTGAAAAATTATTTTAATGCTTCTTTAATTTACAGTAAATATACAAAACTCTACATGAGAAAATACTAGAAATTTAAAAGAAAAAATTTTTTGTTGAAAGAAAACTAAATTTTTATGTTAATTTTAAACTAAAATTAACATAAACTAAAACTAACATTCACACATAATTAAATTTTTATTTCCTTAAGATGGAAAAATTCCACACATTGGGTTACAAACTTATTAGAAATAAAGCAAATACACTTCACTTGTAGGTATTGTATACAGTAGAGTAAACATAATTCTTTAATTTAGTAAAATGCTTCTATTTTACACAAAATTTAAAATCTTTACATAATAAACACAAAATAAAACGCCGTTTACCATGAATATTTGTTTGCACTCGGTGAAATATTGCTTGTCGCCAAGACCCCTTTGGGCCTGAATCATCTTGTTCTGGTGTTTGTGGCTTTATTTGCCCACTCTTCATGAATCTGAAATAACACATTATGAATTCACATATATTAGTTCGAAAGATAACAATGATGTTTTTGATGTCAAACAAAATCAAATAGGTTCAGACAACAATGACCTTGCCACAATAAAAACCTGAATATGAGATTATTACAGCATTTCAAACATAAGCACTGCAACAATTCTCTGCTCACAGTTTCTGTATTAAGATTTCATCACAGTCCCACTTTTCTAGACATAAGATAACGCAAGAACTATCAAAACTAAAGAATACCAAAACAAAAGATACAAATTTCTATTTCATTCAGATCTAAATTTCAAATTTAAATCTGAATGAAACAGAGAATATATAATAATGATGGCTAAAATTTTTTTTCTATTTTTTAGAGGATGGCATGTCAGTACAGTATTCTAAATATTAAAAAAATGTACCCAAAATCCTCCCCCCCCCCAAAGGAAGATTTTTCATATATCTTTACATCTTCCCCAATGTAGTTAAATTATAGAAGTCATAAAATTTCAGTTCATTCAAAATTATGTCACTATCTCATTCAATTTCTAGCATTTTGCAGATATAAATATATCGTTAAAATTTATAGAAAGTCTTCGATTGATGGTAAACTTTTTTTTTTAATGTTATAAATATGCAAGTGCAAACATTATACATTAGCATTTCTAATTAAATGTACTTAATATTAACAAGCATATCTGCTGTACATAAAACATTCATATACACAAACAGTTCAAGTTAAAATTTATGACAGTGCAAATCCTGCACTTTCAATATAACTTATTTTATTAAAATATTGCCTGCATACTATTAAAATATTGCCTGCATACTATTAAAATAAGCCCTTTGTGAAAGTTCTATTTTTTTTTCAAAATTAATAATGTACGAATTGTATAAATTAACTGAATGGTCATAAAGATATTATTTTTTGAAAGAATGATATAAAGGTTAAAAGTCTGCAATGAAATATTTTGTTCTCATTTCATACCAAAGTCACAGATTTTAAATATTTCCAAATAAAAATCCTGCAGCATAGCTAATCCATATCTTAACTTTGAGAACATTTTGGTATGTACTGCATGCAGGTATTTCAATACATTTGCATGAATGAATGAGTATTTTATTAATGAATATTTTAAGACAAAATTAATTAACAAACAGTTATTCACATTAATTATAAACATACATTCATAATGAGAAAGCGTAATCACTAAAAGGAGTTAGTGTTTGAAAAAACACATATTAAATACAATAAAATTTAACAAATAGCAGGTGTTTGATAAGGTGTTTAAAAAAGATACCCACTAGCTCTTTTTTGTCCCCTTAAATACTGATCAGACAAATGCTCCTTTATTTTACAGAGTTTCTCATAATTAGGCAGAGAATTTTATGACAGTTTTTTTATTGCGAGTGAAACTACTCATAAAATTTTTATCTCATGATATTGTTTCATACACATAGCTGACAACCTTGAAATATGAAAAAATGAAAGTTTCTCGCACAAAAACCGTCAGTATCTGGAAGGTTTGTGCTGCACAACACTGTCATTTTAAAAGAGCACCAAAATTACTTAAATTCACTTTATTATGTATGAATCGGGTTACTGAACTATTGATATGGTTTAGGTATAAAATATATTAATATACAATTGTAAATTTCATAGTTAGGGGCTAATTTCATTTTTCTTACATGTTTACACTGAGAAAGGTTCTGAGGTATACGATGATTAAGAAAGCTTTTATTTATCAAATTAATCAATCACTAAAAGTAAAAGTAATAAAATACATATTATTGAGGGATAAACTTAGTAATGTACCATATACTGATGCAGAACATAATTAAATACGAATATTAACTAATTAAACAATAGTTCCCTCTTCATAAAAAGTTCTACAAAACCCTACAATAGATTAAAACTATTGAGATAAGAAATAAAATTTAATAAGAAATATTATGCTGAAATTCATTACAGTTGGGGAATGCAATTTCACAGCGGTGAACACATATTAAGTCCAATTTCTTATACGCTCACGTGGAGCAAATGTCCTAATTAGTAAAATATTCACTATGCTTCAAGTCAAATACAAGTTTCATTTCCTTACGTGAAGAATGCATGAAGATATAACAAATTTCAAAATTAAAACATCCTCAGAATTTTATGGATTTAATTACAATAATAGTCCATTTTGGCAGTTACATATTCTTAATTGGTTAAAAAAGCAAATTATTTTTAGCTCCCTAAAACAACGTTAATATTTCTGCGAATTCTGCATCAAAATTATATTTCTGTTCAACTTGTGCATATGAAAAATGCTATTAAGTGAACATTTTTCCTCATGAAAATAGTTCTCAATCTTTGTTTTTTTGGTTCACTGCACATTATACTTTGGACACAGTCCAAGACAAGCCCTACGATTCAAGAAGGCAACACTATAGAGAACTCGGTCTTCAGCGTGCATAGTGCAACTTCAGAAATAATGGTTAATTCTTCAGGTTAAAGACGTTCAGAGAATTTTTTAGGTATAAAATGAGTTATCAAGCAAGCTAAGTATCGAAACGGAGGCTCTTTTACTCAATCAAATGACAAGACCTGGAAAATTTGCATAACAAATATACGCAAAAGGAAAAATTTTCCAAATATCTCTTCTGATTTCTAAGGTATATGCACACCTGAACTAATTTCAAATTGCCTCTTAAAAGCAAGATCTTCCAAACTTCAACTCAATATATATATATATATATATATATAATAATATAATAAAATTCCATAGTCAAGAATACACTTAAAATTTTCATTGTATGTTCTTTTCATTTTTAATGGCAACGGTCTCTTATTTGAAAGTACGTGGAATTAAATCCACAGCCCCGTAGTCAAGTTGTTTTCCCGCCTTTCCTACATGTACAGTTATAGAATGTTCTGGAGATATATAAAGCAAACTGGAATGGCTGACGTCATTTCTTGGAAGCTCCGCCTTTCCAGAGGCTATAAAAGGACTCGCAAAGGAATATCGGGGTCTTTTCTTTAATGTAACGATGCAGTAAACTTCATACAAAAAATTATTAGTAATTCTTTTTTATTTACTCTAGAGATCAAATTTTTGTAATTGCTATTTCTCCTGAATAATAATAAATGGATCCTGTTTTTTAAACTTATCGTCTGATACTTTTGAGCTACAACTACATCTATGATTCTTCACCAATCTATTTATTCCAGACAAAAGCTGGTACATCACATATATATACCTACTCATCTAGAAATACAAAACAGTAAAAGAATTAGCTGTCAATAGTCTATAGAGAAAGAGTTAAAACACTGAAAAAAATGACCAAATTTGACAATATAGCGATATTCGGCAACATCCAGAATTTTCAAAGACTCAGTTTTGAAAATTTTGGAAGTTGCCAAGGTGATCAAGTCTTTCCACAAAACTATAAAATAATGAACGAAGAGATAAGAACGATATATCATCACATCTTAATTTTTTTAATGGAAAATTAAACAAACGAGGTGAAATTTTAATCTTTGAAAAATTAAGTCACAATACAAGAAATTACGCAAATCATTTTGCTGTACAGAGATGTCTCATACTGCAGTTATTTTAGAATGATACAGATAATCCACACTTTGTGATAGTAAATGTGCTAATTGCGGACTGATGTATAGTACAGATCAGGTGCAGTAAAGAATGGTCAAAGCAGTAATTAATTTTACATCTGTTGACTTCATGAAATAAGTAAAATAAGTTTCAGAACTGTTAGACAACCAGTGGCTAAGAGGTGATGCTGCGGACCACAGGTAGTTTGAAATAGGTTCAAATCACAGTGACTAGATTACCCAAATGAAAAAGTTACCTAGAAACAAATTTTTAAGGTACGCTTTTCTGCCATTTTTTGGAGCTTTCTGCCCCAAATAATAAAAACGCTGCAAGATTTTCGCCTGCATAAATTTATTTTAAACAAGCTTCATTTTTTATACCATCAGAATATTACTTTTTTCTAGCAATCCCGTTAATATATGATCAAGGCTTTGGTTTTTTTCCATCAAAATTCATTTTTTAATGGAAGAAGTGTGAATTCACATTGAAATGCATTAATTATCTAAATCATTTTCAGAATTAATGAGCCAAGAGTTGTTTTCTGTTACTTCGCCATACGTAATTTTCTTTGAACTTTTAGATTTCAGAAATCAGACTTTCCAATGAAATATCTTCTTCTGAAAAGTGTTAATTTCAAATGCTTAGCTATACAATTTGAAGCAATATAAAAATCCTGTAGTATTATGTACTTTATATTCAAATTGATACATAGTTTAGGATTAAAATCGTAATGCAATGTCTCCATAATTTTTAAACTTTAGCAATCAAGTTGACTGAAAGTAGAAAAACATTATTGCTTGCATCTCCTCCCCCCCCCAAAAAAAAATGTTACCTCCTCCCAAAAAAGTATCTGCAAAATGTTAATTGTGAAGTGTATTTAATGAAAAATATATAAATACATAATGAAGCATAAATACATTGTTCTGTTTGTGTGCTTGTTTGCTTATTCCATATTTTGAATTATGATAGTTTTTCCTTGCTGAGAATCAGGGCTTCATATAGTTTCAATTAAATCTGATTAAGTGCATTGCAGAAAACTTAAGAAGATGCCAAAAAATACACTAAATTTTCAATAAATTTCTTGTTAGGTATCAAATTTCAAAACAGCAAAGCTGATGCCATAAAATCCCATTGTTTAATTTCCCAATAAAAGGTGTCAGTAAGTACGTTATTACTTAATTATTTAAACATTTGCATTGCTATTATTAAAGCCTCATTTTAAATTTACCTATTATATTCTGTAATTTTTCGGATATTTTATAAATTTTCTAAAAATTATTTTAAAATTTTAAAATGTTTTCTTCAGCATTTGTACTCCAATAATTTGTATTTATTCATTTTTTTAAGTGAAACAGATGGAATTTGATATTTCGTTTTCATAAGTTTACATCTGAGCCCTTTATTAAAGTTTTTATATCTCACCACTGGTTATGATGCTAAAATGTTTGGGAAACACTGGAATATAGACTGTTATACAAATATATGCAGTGTGATACTGTGTGTGTTTATATATATATATATATATATTATTTGATGGTTGTGAATCATAACTAATTATTATCTTCCAGTTTCTTTCTCAAAATGTTATCAGGAGAGTTTAAATTATGTAATTTATATAAGTATTTTATATTATATTTGTACTGACATGCATAAAGAATGGCGAAGGCTTGTTTTAAAATTTTATTAATTTTACTGAAACTGAATTTTATTTAAAATTATTCTACATGCTTCCCCTCCTCTGATATATTTCTGTGCAATTCCCTCTGTGCTAATTGAGTACTTTTGCTGGTTTATGAGCTTACAGGAATGCTGTAATAGTATGATTTCTCAAAATGCTAGTTTTCATGGAAATTTGATCAACAGTTCAATTGGTTTTTGAGTACTTTCTTTAATAAAAACTCTATATATGGATACATGTATAAATTCATTTGTTTTGTTTATGGGTTTAAAGTCTACCGGTTTTGACCTATTGGTATCCATAAAGTTGTGTTTTTTCCTACTCGTTTTCACAAAAAGTTGGCCTACGGGTAGTCATACATCTATAGGTTTTTTCTATAGGCAAAGGTTTTTTTTTTTTTTTTTTCTATAGGCGAAAGTTGGCCTACAGGTAGTCATACATGTACAGGTTTTTTCCACAGACCAAATCCCTATACAATTTTTTTATTGATCTGTATTATGATATTATGATACTGTAAAGGCATTTTTAACACAGTTTTTAACTCCCTATTTTATATTTTTGTATCAAAAAATAAATGTTTACTGAAAAAGCAAGATAGAAACTTCACCAATTAAATTCTAGAAATAAATATAAATTAATGCTAGATACAGCAGTTAAACAGGATTTTAAACTTATGTTTATAACTATAAAACATTACTATTTAATTAACCTCTCAAAGCTGTAGTAATAGATTTTTATATTATAGTATTAAAAATCTTAGAAAATACATAAGTTTAATACTATGCTAACTGCAATACATAGCATTTTTTTCACTAATTTTCAGATTATTAATGCTTAAGTATTCTTCCTTTTTCAGCAAAAATTTATTAATACAAAAGTATGAATTATGGACACAAAAATATCATTTATTTCTTCTGCTCACAAATCATTACACAGAAATCCACTTAAAATTTTGTTCAGTCAGAAAATGCATATCAATGTTGTTTTCATTATATGCCATGATTCGCATGTGATATTTTACCACAATATTTTGTACAACTGTTTTATAACTGAAGTTTCTGCATGACTTTATTTTCTACCATGATGTCATAGATCCGCTATATTTTCTCCTTGCTTTTTTTCTCCCATGATGTTCTGTACAATGTCGTTTTTCCATTGTGTTACTTTCTTCAGAACATTTCCATCCATGATATTTTTACTGTATCCAGTATTTATTATAACTTAATACATTTTCTGTAAATTAAATATGCTTCTGCTCTTTAATACTTTTCTTTTGCTCCTTTTTCAAAATTAATACAGTCAAAAGTCGTTAATCCGGACTCGTCAGGACTTCGGCGATTCCGGATTATCGATTTTTCCGTATTTTAGATCATCAGTTTAAATTTGGTAAGATGGTATGCAGAAATTTTAAAATTAAAAATATGAAACCGTAATTTATGAAATAAAGAACAATTATGATCTAAAGGGTATCAAAATTTACATAAAAAAGCTTAATATTTATTTGTTTACTTTATTAAACATTTCTTTCAATGTAAGTTGTTTAAGCTGCTTCGTTTTATGTGATAATACTTTCTCTTTAATTCTATAAACAGACATAATTTCTTGTTCAGTTACGAAGTTCCGCTGTTCAAGTCCCGTAATTGCTGTGCCGAGAACACCGACTAACTTGTCAATCGAAATTTTTTCATTTTCACTAACCTCTCTGTCACCTTCTTCATGTCTTTATCCATTTTTTGCAGCAATTCCACTTTTTGTTTGACGGACATCGAATCATACTTTCGTTTTGTAGATGCTTTGGGAGCTCCAGCATCGGAAATTCTATTTGACATAATCGAAAGTTCAAGTTTACTTTTATAAAATTGCTCTTACAGTCTGCAAAAAATAATAAGCCGCATCCAATTCGAAGATTAAGGAACAACGCAATCATCAACATTAACTGAAATAGATAATTAAATAATTTTAGCTTATACCATCCATTATACATTAAACGCGCACGCGAAAACGTATTCTGCGCTTGCGCACACGCATATGCAGTCGTAACGGTCTTAAGGCCCGTCCACACGAGGACGCTTCCGACGTAGTTGACGTAACTTTTTTGATGCCGGCGTAAATTCGCAGGACGCAGAAGACGTAAAACTGAGTACGCTCCTGTTCAGCTTTTTCACCCAGGACGCGCGCGTATAGCCAATAGCCGACCGAATTCTTATCACGTGTCATAATCAGAAAACCTTCTTGCTTACCCGTTTCAATATGGCGTCACAGCCAAACAGAGATGAGTTTTTGCTTAGAAATATAACTGTATACAGCAATAAAATAATCAGCATTGTTCACGCTATCTTCAGATTTCTCAAACCGTACATATTAGTATACATTTAAAATTCACATTAAAGGGGAAAACTGTATACTTATAAAGTAATGATCCGACCACTATATCCATATGCTTCACCTATTTATAACACCGTAAGTAATAGGAACCTAAATAAATTACAGTTTCTATGAAATCAAAGTTTCTGCCTTACAAAATTCTCCTTAATTATTATAAATATTGGCTATATCATGTGTAATAAAAAGCTCTATAAATATCCCAATATTAAAATACACCAAAAACTAACTTCAGCAATATAATAACTTCTAAAATAAAGCAGTTGACTGTGAAAGAGTATTCAATAAAATATAATTACGAAATTTTGGAGGAAAGTTACAACTTCAATCATTTATTGAAGTTTAATTAAATTACCTTTGCAGCGACTTCTACTTGTTACATTATTTTTTACAAACACTGCTATCACAGATAGCTGAGTGGTCAGCGCGCTGCTTTGGTGGCGGAGGAATGGAAAGGTGGCAAGTTCGAACCTCACCTGTAGACGGTATAATTCAGTTAGCTTTTCTCATTTTTGAAACGTGTTTCTTATATTTAATCATGAATCATTATATTCTTATTTTACCTATTATTATTGTTTTCATTTCTTATTTTTATTCATTATTATTATTGTTTTTAATTTAGTTTAAAAATGTGCAGTGCAAATAGAAATCCTTATGTAAAAATATATCTGCATCTCTTTATCATGTATCATCTATAAATTCTCTCTTTATTTTTACTTTATTGCATATTTTATCATGCACATAATTTCTCATAAACTGTCCAAGTTTGAACCTCATTCTAAATTCAAAAATAAATAAAAAGAAAAACAAAAGACCAAGGGAGAGCGAGTTAAAAAAATATGAAGTTGGTTTTATTATATAATGGATGGTGTATATAAAGAGAATTAAGTAATTTAATTCTCTTTATATACTGTATTCCAAACAAATTTTATAAATCCTAATTTTCATACGATATAGTGTCTGCAAGTCTGTCAAAGTGGTCGATACTCATTCTGAAGGAATTAAAAAACAAGTAATATACCCCCCCCAAAAAAAAATTAAGTCAATTCCTACTTAGGTCCACAAAGAAAAGTTTAAAAATACAAAAATAAATAAATAAATAAAAATACAAACATAATTTTTTTAAATTAAAAATTTTAAAAAATTTAATATGTGAAAAAGCTGTATTAACATCAAATGTCATTCACTGCAAGCTTAAAAAATTGTATTTGAACTTGAGTGGATGAATAAAAAGCATTTTATGTACTGAAAATTTGAACAAGATGTAGGGAGAGTGTGAGCTAATAGTAGGAATTTAATAATTCCAGATATTCCTTTCGCAAACAAGGCAGTAAAAAAAAAAAACCTCTTTGAACAGATCGCTCTAAATAAATCTTTCGGACCCATTCTTGCCATTTTTTGCGGTTTTGCCTCTGCTTAATAATTTCACATAATAGTAAAGTTTCAGCTATAAAAATAATCATCTGATTTGGACAACTTGCTGCAAACATACAGAAGAACAGCGAAGTAATAAGATACAGCTCTGTTGACGCTATATTACAGTGTCACGTGATTTTTGCGCAAAATAATTCTATTGGTTAAACGCACTCTTCGCAAGCGTACTCATTTGGACGCTTTTACGCTGGTAACGTAAAAGCGCGTTCGTCAGCTACGTTTCAAGCGTACTCGTGTGGACGAGCCTTTACACGCACGCGCAAACGCCTATGCGCATGTGTCAATGCGGCGCATGCGCAGAAAGTTTTCAGCTTTGAGGTCTGGATTATAGATCATTCCGGATTATGGGTGTCCGAATTAACAACTTTTGACTGTATAAAGTAGTTTAATAATTTTTACTAGCAATATCACAAGACATCATATTTTGCTGTACACTTTGTGAAATCTTAAAACACAAAAGACTGCAGTGGCATACTTGTTGATGCCACTGCTCCACAGGAACTACACAAAAATTAATTTTTATTTATACAGTGGTTCTATCCCAAGCGCTGAAACTATTTTTATAAAAATGTTGTATCTTATTTTGATAAACAATGGAATAGAAATATATACCTTGAACCAATATTTAAGATAGCAGTCCTTTTCCTCAAAGAGATGATTTGATTTAAGTAATTAGTCGCATTAATTTGAACATTCTGTATTAAAAAAAAACTTTTAAATGCTTACATATTCATAATTGGCCTTCTATTATTTCTATGCATTTCATGTTTTGAATTATTCTTCTTGCAGCTGTGAATAATCTCACGAGATGAGCTGAAGGTGGAACTACGGGGCCTTGTTAACAAAGGAGATACTCGACCCGAGGGTGCATGGTCACCATCATAACTGCCTTCTCGATATGATCGAGAATCTGGATCTTTGCTAAAAGTCTCTGCATCTTCCATTACAGTGCCCTGAGAACATGTATAGAATGTTAAAGTAGTATAATGAAACAATTTTTTTTTTTTTTAATTTTGCTAATAAATACAAATTCAGATGAAATTATAACAAAACCCAAGGGATACATTTCCATATATTTAACACAAATGGAATGAAAACACTGATAAAAAATCACTTTCTCTAAATGACTAATTATGTAATTAATTACAAATTATGTAAACAGCAATACCCATTTCCTAAATGACAAATTATGTAAACAGCAATACCCATTACCATGACCACTAATATTAAATTAAAGAATAACAAATATACAAGATGCTGTTTAAAATCATAGATAATATATCATTCATGAACCGTTTCTGCTTTTCTTTCATCTCATACCTTTCTCCCCATTAATTACACCACAAAAAGCAAAATTTATCAGTATTCATTCAGAATCGGAAACCGCAAAACTCCAACTTTTTCAAAATTTGTAACTTGAAACTATGCATTTTTCACACTGTACTTAACAAATAACTGGTTTCGCTGCATAGTAACTTTAGTCAAAATGGCTCGATTATTAAACCAACAAACAATCAGGTGATACTCGCCACTCATAATAAATCTCTGTCTCATTTAACTTCAATAGTTGATTCAAGATTTAAGTTATCTAATTCCCAGTAAATTTACAAGGTGCAACAATTTAACTCCAGTATAAAAAAACTACCAAGTTAGGTAGAGGTGCTTCTTAAGAAACTTGCAGTTCTATCAGTATGAGAACATAGAACATTAAACATATTGCCATCAAGAAATCATTTGACAGCCAAAAGTGCAGTACTTCTAGAAGACTACAATGAAGAATCCACTTCCACATGGCTGCACCCTTCACAAAATATTAATTTCTGTCATTCTTTGATTTTAATGAGTTTTAATCTTATTTTGTTTGCAGGAAACAATACTTCTAGATCAAAGAATGGCACTAGATTTCTGAAGTTGGACTTAAATTTTTGCAGGAAGTATTCCTTGCTCTTCATCCTGGCAGATGTCTCCATACTAATCTTATGTACTTTAATTTTTTTAAACTTCATTTAAATAAACAAACCTCAGTTCAGTCGGAAACATTTCTAATCATTTTAAGGAATGTTATTCTAATTACACAAATTCCTTAGCTTTTAATCACCAACACATAAATCGTCCATTCTTCAACCACCAGTAAAGCTGAGGCAAATATCAGAAGTTTATCACCATATTCAAAGATCTAGGAAGTCTGATGTTTCATCTCAGTGCACCATCTGTTAAAATGAAAAGAGGAAATCAAATTTATCCTCAGTCAAGAGATATTCAGCTGTCAAAAAGCCCTTATTCCATCTTTGATATAAGATTAGAAATAAACCTGAAAACAAAAGATCGCTCAGCAACTACATGCATGTAATGTTTCCGAGAGATATTACTTACACAGTGCAGTCACATTAATGTGACCACCACCCACTTTCGAAGTCAATGTGAAACAACCAATCAAAGTAAGCAGGTGTCAGCACATTGCAGTGGAGCATATATAAAGTGTGTCCGAGAGAATCGCAAAACATTCACTTCATATATATCTGCTCAGGATGTGTTATGTGTTCCTCCTGGAAGGACTTTGCTCTCCATGGCCGATGGGCCCTCTTTACATCCTTACTCCGATTTCACAGCTAGTTGAAAGTTTATAATCTGATCACCTGAGGGATTAGATGAGTAAAGCTTATAAAAGCCTGTCCAGGCTACATAAGCATGTTGCATTTAAGCATCCATAAAACATTGCAATTGCTGGTGTGATATAGAAATGAAGCAATTTATCTGACATCCTAAAGGGCATGATCATTGGCTTTCAGGCCAAGGGTGGAAGCATTTCCAAAATGTCTAATTTTGAACACTGTTTGCATGTCCCCATGGTGAAAATATACCATGCATGGCAAAATGGCACTAGCCAAAATCAACAACGTTGCAAATGTTGACGTGCCATAGATGACAGATGTAAATGATGGCTGCAGAGATGCATTTGGGCAAACAGACATGTAACCGTTGAGCAGCTGACTGCCCAGATGAACCAAGGGGCCTCCAACAGTGTCTCCTCAATGACGGCTCAATGACCATAGCTGGACCTCCGTAGGAGACACCTAGTTAAAGCCCCCATGCTGACTGCAGTTCATTGGCAACAAAGGGTGGAATTTGCATGTCAGTACCACAACTGGATATCCACCGAGTGGGGAAAGGTGGCTTTTTCAGATTGATCACATTTTATGCTCCATCGGATACAGACATTGCTGTATATGGCGTGAAATGTCAGTAAGCAAACACCCTCTCAAAACTCCAGAAAGAGTCCAAGCCAGAGGAGGGAGCATTATGGTTTGTGGAATGTGTTCTTGGCATTCTCTGGGTGCACTCATCATTGTGGAAGGCACGATGGATCAACAGAAATATGTGTTCGTCCTTGCAGACCATGTCCACCTCTACATGTGAAAATAGGTTTTCCTGAGAATGATGACGTCTAACATCTACTAGTAGGACAAAGCAAACTGCCATACAGCTCGCAGTGTACGTGCATGGTTCGAAGAGCACCAGGATGAGTTTACCGTACTTTCCTGGCCAGCAAACTCCCCGAACTTAAACCCAATCAAGAATCTTTAGGACCACCTTGATCGGGTTGTTCATGTCATGGATTCTAAACCACACAAACCAGCTTAACTGGCCACTGCACTGGAGTCTGCATGGCTCAACATTTCAGTGAACACCTTCAAGAACCTAACTGACTCTCTTCCTGCATGTCTTGCAGTGGTCTGCTGTTGAAATGTGGTTATTCTGGCTTTTGACAGGTGGTCACATTAATGTGACTGGACTGCGTGTATTCAAGGTTTCACTCAAATGCTGACTAAAAAAAGTATTTTTCACCTAATATGTGCATACTGTTCAATTCCAGTGTAGTATTCTGAAGACGTCACAACAGCTAGTTATTGCATCCTCTGGATTCCTTCAACTTCATTTCAGGCAATTTCACCTGTGAAATACCAACCAAACTTTTTAGCTCTTAGTTTAATTAATTATGTCCTTCTTCCTGTATAGCCTATATCTTTCATATTTCTCACAGCATTGATCATTGAGTCAAAACACATCTGAAAGAAGTGACCTGCTGAGTTACAGTATTATGGCTGGATCTTAAATCTTTCAAAATGTGTATTTTGGTATACCAAAAATTCAATTTTCCAGATGGCTGATCACTTTCAATGCCAAAGTTAATAGCATTCTTTGTCAAAATATAAATAATTCAAATAGCCTTTTTACATCAAAAATTCAATTAAATTTGAATTAAAGTTAAGAAATTAATAAACACAGGAAATTATTTCTCAAAATACTACCCAGACCACATTACATTTTTCATCTCTTTAAAACAAGCACTGTAAAATTCCTGAAACTTTAATACGAGGGTTAGAAATTTTAAATAAAATAGATTCTGTATGCAAAAAATAACAAGGAAGATTCTGTATGCAAGAATTTCCTACATAACTGATTTACTAATGAGCATTATAGCATTACAAATTATGCTGAAAAATTTTATCAGTTGGAGAAAATTATCAACAACAAATAAAGCATGTGTACAAAGCACCTACCAAAAGAAAGTATAACATAAATTACATAGCAACCAATTCTCAGATAGATGAAAATGGGCCTCAAGTTGAACATATAAATATTGTGCAAGACATAAATCTATATTTTTGTATTCTTATAAAGCACTTTTGCTATTCAACATGGTAAACTTTGACAAATGCATGAGCTTTAAATGTAGATCTTCATTTCTGAAATGCATAGTTTTGTAACTAATCAATTAATTCATCTGGTACAGATTAGCAATGAATCTACAGCAAATAAGCATTGAATTGTATCCACCCAACTATTAACATATAGATTTTTTTTAAATAAATTGAGTAACTTCAATGTATAAAGTATATAGGTATAATAATAATGGAATAACAACATACATACTCTAAAAATGGTATCTCACTTACAGGAATATCATCATGTAAAGAAAGACCTGACTCCTTTGATTCATCTCGATTTGTAAGCTGGAAGTTAAAAAATAATTTTCTCAAACTCAAAATATTAATAAGATAAAAAATGCACATAAATATTATATTAATATGCATATTTAATCCATAAAAGCCACGATATAATCATTGCACAAAATTTAAAACTTTCTCCAACAATGCCAGTAAATTCTGTACAAGTGAGCCTCAAATGCAATAATCTCTCTGACATCAAATTGACCAGAAACAAGAAAAGGATCCCACTTCTTCAAAAAGCAAAAATATTTTATACTATAGGTAGTTCAGAAATATGCCACATAAACAGATAAAAATATTTAACATAAAAATATTATGAGATGAGACCTTTAGTATCATAAAATGTTATTTTCAAAAATTCAACTTCATACATTTTATTGGAATGGAATTGTACTTAAAAATAAACATTAAAAAAACTAAAAATTTGATACTTTGAAATTGCTTAGGTGAAACACTTTATATTACACAAATTATTTAAGCAAACACAATATTATTTAAGCAAATGCATTACTAATATATTCTTCACTGAATTATCTACAGCAAGGATTCCCTCCCTTTCTCTCGCATCTACTCCCTTAAAAGAAGGGATTTCTTCATCAACATCTTTACAGTTTTTTCAGCATACATATACAGTATACAGTATATATATAGCATAATATACAGCATGCAGCATAATCATAGTACAAATAATTGCATATAAATAGCTTTTATGACTATGAATATAGACAAAAGATTTGAAAAAAAATGGTTTATTAGCCCAAATCCAATCAAATCAGCATCATTAAACTTACCTTGAAAATGGTTTCAAGGGAACTAGAAATAGATTTCTTTGCTTTTTGACGAAAAGAATCCAACTTTGATCCTTTTTCTTTTAAAAACGACTAAAAAAAACAAAGTAAATTAAAACATATCCAGTACAATTAAAACAAGCTCAGGCTTGCTTTCAATCTAAAGAACAAGTATTCTGAGCAATCACATAATTTATGTTAATTTATACTGATCAACTATAGTTTTGTTGCAGAAAAAACATTCAATGAATTTTTTGGAGATAATTTTTATTATAGAGTAAAAAGTCCTCATCTATAGAATATGCTACAGAACATTAGACTATGTTTCTGTAACTTTTCATAAATGAGACTGTTCTCTTTCAGAGCGAGTTTGGCAGACTTCATGACATACCACTGTATCCAATTAATCTGGCTTGAATAATTTTGTTTGCAACTTTAATTCATGAAGAAGTCGACACAGATATTAGTATCAAGAATTAAGAAAAGGAATCCCATAAGGAAAGGTGCAAAAGTTGTACTTTTCGAATTCTGTAACAATTAAATTTAAGGCATTTTGCAGAGATAATTTGCATATCATAATAACAAGTTCACAACTTTTCAGTTTGGGATCATCATTAACCAAGATTAGACTAGTTTTAGGGAGGGGGGGAAAAGCACAGTAGCACATTTTTTATACAGGAAAAATTCCCACAAAAAGCAACAGGAGATCTATTTACTCTGGGGATACTTTTTTACACTCATGATTGTCAGCTTGGATTTTGTGGTTCACAGTGAAAACTAGAGATGATTGGTTAAGTACTTGAGATAATCACATAAAACACTTCAAGGCTTCAAAAATTACCATATCAGGATTCCTTTGCCACAACTTAACTCGAGCGAATTAGTGAAAGGGTTAATGACATTATTAATGTTCCTAACCCTACTTTGTTCTGAAAGATTATTTATTAAAAACCAGAAACTTTTCAGCGATGTCGGATTTTCAAAAGCAAACACCAGTCACAAATACAAAATTATTGACCTTTTATTCAAGCATATTTAGCAGACAAAATACAACCAAATAGGTGGCAGAGGCACATGCTCCTTACTTTAGATTTAATGCATATCAGATTATTTTTTGACTGTTGGGAATTAGAAGGGAGGTATTACCTATAATTGGAAGGGCAGGGGTTAAAAAAACAAAAATAATTTACCTTCAAAGATTAGAAAATTAAAACTACAGTTTGATGATTTTTCCTCAGAAAGTGTTTACTGCATAACTGAATACTGATGATATAACCAGACGGTACTGGTATAACTATACGGTAATGGATATGACTTTTCACATATTTCTTACTATTACCTGCTCACTATGAGCTTCCATTAGGAAAAAGTTACAGAAAGACAGACCATAGTCAGAAATGATTAACTCAATAAAGCAGTTATTTAGGAATGTCTAAAGTTAATGCTTTAAAAATTCTAATGTTATTAGAATTACTGACAACAAAAAAAGTAATATCTATTTGTATCTATCTAACACTTCAATTGTTCGGTATTTTCAAATACGCTGAAAAAAAGGAAGAACACATATAGTGAGTAGAATTACCAACAATTAACTTCAGGATTAAATTTTGAACTAAAACTGCTTTTAAATGTTTCCCATTTTGCAGTAATTCATCAAAAATCATGCTTTTCATTATATGCTAATACATTATAGTTCCCAATGTGAGTGCCATTGCCCTCAGGTGTTGCTAGTTTTAGAGGAAGTAAACAGGCAAAGAGAAACAAGTGGACAATACGAATGTGCAAGGAAAGTTTTGTTGTTTAAAGTTTTTTTTAAAACCATAATAAAATTCATTTGATTGCAAAGTCATGAGCACAATTAAGAGAATTTGCACATTATGTTGAATTTCTCAAAAACTAATGGACAAATTAAAAAAAAAAAAATTTGGTATGAATATACAAGCTCATAATGCTGGGATGTCCAAAATTACTGTTCTGATATCGAACCAAAAATGAGTCTAATATGGTGTCTCTTACAGAGAGTCACTTGGTACAGCATGACTGCATCCTGTACAGAAAGCAGATAAGGAGTTCCGGTAGCAGTTGATCCCACTCCTGACACAAGGCAGTTTTAAACTCAGGAATGGTTCTCTGAGGGGGACTGAGGGCCCACCAGCGGCCAAGCGATAACGTCGCTGAACACTCTTAGTTCAGTCCGAGGTTCGATCCCGCGAAAGGGCTGGCTGCATGGGCATTTTCGTGGTTTTCCCCATGTGTAACGTGTATACGAGCCAGTTCCCCTTAGAAAGTCTTCCACAAAGGCATCCCTCTCCTTAGGCAGATAGCCCTCAATGCTCTGCCATAATCAGACACACTGAGGGGATTGTTAGCACTCTTCTTGGCACCTTTCTGTTCCATTTGAGGTTTTTAATTTTCTGAAAGTTTGTTTCAGTCTGCACGGAAGTTTGGCTCAAGGTAGAGGTTTTTTGAAATTCTCTCGAATGGGATATAAGATTTAAAATTGTCTGCCAAGTTAAGTAATAGTTAGGTAGCAGAATTAAATAAGTAAACCTTGATTTTACCTTGTGAAACTACAGTAAGTAAAAAATTTTGTACTTCAATCTGTCTGTTTCATTCATCAAAAATTATTGTATGGTCAAGTCTCATGAATGAATTCCTAATTGTCTAGGGATATAGTGGCTGTGATAGACTTTGTGACAATATAAGGGCTCAATTAACTAAGCTTTTCAGACTGATTTCTGAAAATATTCAAATAAATTTATTTAGGAATAAATTTGCTGTTAGGAATAAAATTGAAAATCTACATCATCTGGAAAAGAAATTGGATGAGTTAAGAAACCAGTATTATAAAGTATTAAAAGAAGATAATGTTAGAGAGTGCAAAATCATGTTTGAGACTGATAAAGAGCCTCAAAAGCAAAGGCAAGATTTAAAAATTTTTTTGAATCTAAGCAAATTGGGATATTGAAACAGATTCAAGTTACGACCGTACATTTTGAAGTCAATCTGAGTTAAATCTAAAGCTTCCCCAAATAACTTTAACCTAAATTTGACAGTAATTACAAAAATTGGAGTAATTTTTAAATTCAATTCAGTAGTATAATTACTTAAAATGAATTTTATCTGATAGTCAGAAATTGTTTTATTTTCAGCAGCTTTAGTTCGAAATACTAATCAAACTGACAGTGTAGACGATACATGAGTCTTTATTTACTGCCCTTAGAAACAGACATGAAATAAAGGGTTAATTGTAAATAGTCATATCAATTTTATACTGTGTTAATATAATACCACACTTGAGTTGGATAAAAAGCTAAGAATCTTGTAGATGTAATAGCAGTATGTAATTTATGTAAAAAATTATCTCGTATGTCATATAATTGTGATTCTTTTTAGAAAATAAACCAAATTCAAATGTTTGATTTTGTTAGAAAACAAAAACTTTGCATTAATTGCTTATCACAATCATACCAGTTAATAAACTGCAAAACAAAATAGGTACGTAAATTTTATAAGTCCCACAACTACCTTTTGCACAGAACACAGAATTCTATTTCCGAGCCGAATGGCACCGTTTTTGGTGTCTCTCAGACAAATAAAAAAAATACCAATGATATCCATGAATCTCGCTAACAGTCTTGGTTTGAGGCGAAGAAGAGTGAAAACTTCAATTTTGACTTTAGCTGGCAAACTTATAAGTGTAAAGAGATAAAGGTATTAATTTTGAACGCGGAAAGAGCACTTTCTGAGTCACTACATTTTCTATCTTACCTAAGAATACCAATTTAATGCCAGCTGCTCAGATAGACATTTCAGAATTGTACATTCCTGAAAATACTGTTTTAGCAGACCCTAGTTTCTACAAGCCTGGTCGAGTGGATATAATGGTTAGCGCTCAACTATTTTTCAATACTAATTCAGAAGTCAAACAACAAAAATCAGCGGTATATTCACAAAATTTTCACAGGACTAGTTTCGATGGTTTTACCGAACCATCATCTTCAGCTGCAAAACCGCAAATGAACAAGATAGGAAATAACGTTTAGATAAGATAAGAAAGCCTGGACAAGATGGCTTATTCTTGTCCAGGCTTTCTTATCTTATCTAAACGTTATTTCCTATCTTGTTCATTTGCGGTTTTGCAGCTGAAGATGATGGTTCGGTAAAACCATCGAAACTAGTCCTGTGAAAATTTTGTAAATATAACGCTGATTTTTGTTGTTTGACTTCTGAATTAGTATTTATTCGGTTATTGTGTCTTAATTATTTTTCAATACTTTAAATGCTTACACAATTCATGTTACTAATTCACTGATGATGAAAGAAACAGTATTTGGCTAATTGTTCCCGGAGCGGTGAAGGGTGTGCAAGAGGTAAAACACTGTGGTTTCGTTTCACAGATAGATGAAATGGAAACAAGTGTTAAAAAGTTTTGAAATTTAGTAAACACTGAAGATATACACAGTTTACAAGACTAGGAAACTGAATGTGATACGATTTTTGTGAAACATTTCAAAGAGATGGAATCGCAGGTACTGTGAATTCAACACTATGGGAAAATTTGCAATTTGCCAAATCTAAAACTTTGGCTAAAACGTGATTAAAATGGTTATGGAAATCCAGAATTTAAAACACTTAACAGTGTTTTTATGATTGAATATAAAGGCTTAGGACATATGAAAGAAATTGAATTTACAGGTAATTTAAATTACTGCCTAATACTGCATCATGGAGTACTGAGAGAATATATCACCATGACAAAGTTATGTATTTGCTTTGATGCATCAGGATCTAGATCCAATGGAGCTTCATGGAGTAACTGTTTACTTGAGGGGGGGTCCTGTTGTTCAAGGAGACTTATTTTCAATTCCTTTAAGATTTCATAAGACACAAAATAACCTTTGTTGCTGATGTACAAGAAATGAACAAACTTCGGTAAATCCAAACAGAGAAATTTAAGCTGTATATTACAGAAAGGTGATTCTAGAGAAGTTATTAAATTGCTTCAGTTGATGATAGCTACTTACGATACTGCTTGCACACCATTCTTGTGTATAAACCAGTTTAGCCCTTGATGAAAAAACAGCATTATCCATATGCTACAGCTACTGCATTGTACGATTTCTATGCGGATACTAACAGGTGCCAAGGATGTGACTATTGCTCTTGAATTGCAACAACAATTAAATAGTAGGAATATGACACTTTACAAATGGTCTTTAAATGAGAAACAGTTATTAGATCATGTTCCTCCCAATCATTAGGAATATGACTATGCTAAAATTAATAATACCACAGTAAAACCCCTTGGGTTCAGATGGGAACCAAGGAAGACAATTTTGTTTTAATGTTGTTTCTAGTTCAGAGCTTCAAACAAAATGCACAGTGTTGTCTGAAACTGCTCGATGTTTTTTACCATTTGAGTCTGCTAGGTCCACTTACCACACAGGCTAAAATATTCATGCAAAAATTATGGCAGAGAACTGATTGGAACAAGGAACTACCATACCAAGAAAACGAAAAATGTTTCAGAAATTTGTTGGAACTTACGAAGATTAAAGTAACATGCTATGTGTCAATGGACTGCATCATTGTAACTGATCATCACAGTTTTTCGGAGTTGAAGAATCGCCCCTTTGAAGGAAATGACTATTCCATGTTTAGTCATGTGGTGCTCTGCTGTGGTGTTAGCAAAACTAATAAAAAGGATAAAAGATGCTTTAAGGACTGATATTGGTAGAGTGTTCCTTTATAAAAACACAAGCTTGGCTTGGATTGCAAAACTACTACTTCAGTTGAAATTATTTGTAAAAAATTGTGTTAATATAATGCAAAAGCTTACAGATTTTGAAGCTAGAAGCATGTCAGTTCAAAAGATAATCTTGCTGATATGCTTTCAAGAGGTGTGAATGCAAAAGAAACTGAAAGTTGTCACTTATGGTGGATTGGTCTACCATTTTTGCACAAAGAAGCAGGATTTGGACCTTGTAATCTAGTATTTGTAGAGAATGTGGAACTTTATTTGTGGGAACTGGAGGACATGCCCAAGGAGTTTAGTGCATCTGTGCAAGGATTAGGTAGTCTTGATATTATTATAATGGTTCATCATTCATAAAACTTCAAAGAGTGATTGCCTAGTAATTACACTTCGTTGAACATGTAGGACATCATGTAATTGTTGGTCACTTATCAAGTGATGAACTCTCTTGTGCTTTGATGTTTATTGTAAAAAATGTTCAAGCAACAGCCTTTACTGAAGAAATTCAATGCTTAAAATGGGAAAACTCCCTGCTATATGCTAGCAACTTGATAAGTGCCAATTACTGAACTCTGAAGCAATATTAAGTGTTGGTAGACATTTAAAAAGAATTCTTTGCTATGACTTCACCAGAAACACCCAATATTATTACTTAATAATCATAGTTTTACATATCTTGTCATTAATTACTATCATATTTTGTATTTTCATATAGGTGCAGAAATATGGTACATAAACTATGGTACACAAACATTTCTCATAGTCTGTACTCCAGAAACAAGAGAAACCTGCAAGACCTTTAACTAATATCGCACAATTTGAAGGGATAGAAATGTACCAGGAAAAAAAACTTACATCATTTTTTCCATTACAGTTGTTCAAAACATGAATATGCTTCAACTGCTTTTGTTCAGAAAATTCTCGTAATAACATCATAAGTACTTCATTTTGCTCTTGAACATCACTAAAATCTGCATTCTATAAAAGAAACCAAAATTTTGTTTTAAAACATAAATTTGAAAATTGCCAATTCAAAAATCAGAAATATTTTGATGGTATGAAATGTATCATACAACACATAAGATTAGAAATGTCCTTAGAAAAAGAATACTGTGCAGCCAAAAATTATTAGACACCTATTAATAGTCTTTACTTATTTGCCTAGAGATTAAACAGTTATGTTTCAGATATACATATAACATTTTCATTCATATAATTTTTTAATTCTCTATTTTAATATAAAATTCTGTTTCTTCATTATATTAGATTACTTAGTTACTCAACAAAATATCTTAATCTCCTCCTGCATATGAAGGAGGATTTAAAAAGTTTATAATGAATAACATTTTGGTAACTATAACATCAATTAGCTCATTATAACATTAAGCTTCTTCCATTTTAATATGACTCAAATTTTAAATATAAGAATATTCCAGTTAAACCAAAATGTTAAAGTACTGCTGAAATAAATTGCATAATTAATGGTATGCTGTAACTGATTTACTCATGGCAAAACTGGGAACTGTTTGCTTAAGAAGACCTGGCTTGACAGAGGGCTTTCAGGGAAATATTGTGCTACTAGTTGTACTATTTTTACACCTGGGATAAAACCATGAAAATGCATTTATGCCACTATCAAAAATAACCAAGACGGCAATTACTAGTATTCTGCAAACTTACCCAAGTAACAAAAGATCTAGTAAAGATGTCACAAAATGGTCTGACTGGTTGCAGACAGCTTGTGGTAACTTTTATATTGTCTTTACCGCATAGCAAAGACACATAAGATCTGTCTTGGCAATTTTTCGATGTTGATGAAACAACCACCAGCAGATATGATCATTCTAGTTTTCCCTGTAGTTTATTAGGACTAAATTTGAATGAGAAAGTACTAATTTTGTCCTTTCAAGAACCTAGACTCCCCACAAGATTCAATTTGTGATTTTTCGTCAATTTATTTCATCTTAATATATTAATATAAGGTAAATGTATTTAGAATAAGAATATAAATACAGCATAAATAACAAAGTTTTAAATGTACCTAATGCTTAAAAACATGCTTAAAATTATTAATTAATTTTTTTAATTAATATTAAATTTTTTGGGAATTCAGAAAGCACAATATATAAATATTAAAGTAATACAATAATAATTATGATTAATTTATGCATTTTGAATATTTTTAAAAATTCATATTTTTAAACATGAAATTTAATTCTCTACAAATCAAAATGTATTTCGCTAATAATATACAGATATGCACAAAATTCAGAAACATGCATGAATTTAATGCTTCTCTAATAAATATTCTGTCAAAAAAGTAGACATATTACATATCCTCAGTAATTTCATAAGCTTATCTTGTTGAAGAGCGCAACAGCTTTGGCAAGGTGGGTACCTTTCATAAAATACTTTCAGAATTCCATTAAGTAAATCTATAATAAGCGTATTTCATAAAATAACACTCCCTTAGGTTTTAAGTAATCATTATCCCGCTTTCATATAAAAGATTTAAGAAAGCTTAAAAGAGATGCTGGTGTCTGAAAATAATATTAATCTTTAAAAGCCTGTTTTGTAATATTTATATCAGTGTGCAAGTTAACAGAAGCAATAGTGTGAGGGGATGGAAAGTAGAGGTCAGTCCTTGGAACATTACAGCTCTAAGAACCAATCAGAGAGTTGAAGCAAATTTAAATCTCAAATTTAAAGCCAGTAGCAGAGTTGCTAGTTAACCATATCTCTAGATAATGACAAGTAAGCATTCAAAATATTGTATAAAAGCAATTGATTTCATGCAAATCAGTTACAATACTTTAATGTCTTATATTTTGTGTTTGATTGAACCTTGTGCATTATCAAATTTTTGTATTTAGCGGTAGGTAAATTGAGTAATATTAGTAACTGAGATGTTACTACTCTTAGTGAAACTTAACTTTAAACGTAGTTTTTTATGCTATAAATTAAGAAGGCATAATTTAGATAATAAAAAGCTTATTTCTATTTCTAAATAAACAGATATTAATCTCAATAAGAATTTCCCATAATTTTCTTTTATTTATAATCAATACATTTGCATTTTTAATAATTTGTAAATTTGTGTTTTGTTGTGGGATACACATACAGTTATACAACCCAAACAGTTTCATAGAATTCATTTCTGTCTGCACAGTTAATCAAACAAATGTATAAAAGTGCTTATAAAACTTTAAAAAAATAATATTTCAATAAATACAGAACATCAATAATAAACTTTTAATTGTACAATAGAATTACTTCAATGCACCATATTCACATCAAATTACAACATAAAATATTGTTTAAAGAAATCAAATTAGTGTATTTTTCCTCAAAATATGAAGTTAATTCTAACTAGTCATTATGTCAATCTTGAAATAATTGTAAACTCTTTCCAGTTTAGATTCAATGTGCTAAATGAATAAAAGAGAAGTAATACTTCAATAACAGTGGTTTTTTTCGGGGGGGGGGAGCTCAAAAATGATGATCATGACTTTTTATTAAATGTTTATTAATATATGAGTGTGGTAGATATGACATTCAAAAAGTATATTCAAGATTTGGTAAAAACGTTTTACTCTTTTTATAAAACATGCAATTTTTGTCTTTAAGCTGATCAATTAGGTGGTCTGGCTAAAACGTTTTAAAACTGATTAACTCTCTGAATAGCACTATCTGTTTGCGACAAACAGAACTATACAGTAAAATAATTTTGATTCTAGTTTGTTAATCACATTAAGATGAGTCGAGTTGTTAAAGTGAAAACTGTCGTTTTGTGTTTAAATGTTATTTCTTTCGAATGGCTGGGATTTGAATGTTTGGTGTTTGAATGTTTATTTGTAATGGAATCTTATTTGGAACAGAGATGATTTTTCTAAAAGAAAAAAAAACTGCTAGTGAAACTTATAGAATTACACAGAACGCTTATGGTGAAGAGTGCAACTGCTTTCTAATGTGCTTTTCCGGTTGAGTAGATTTTTAGATGGTAGAGATAACGTAAAAAATGACGAAAGAATGGAATGTTCTCTCACAAGCCGAACTGGCCAGAACATCGAAGCTGTGCATGCTGCGTTAAATCAAGATTGTCGACTAACTGTTAAAATGCTTGCAGAACAAAAAAGGAAATTGTGTGCACGTTTTGTTATGTATTCATTAACAACAGAACAAAAGGATGATCGATTGGCAGCTTGTCAGGACCTTCTTGACATGCAAAATCGCAATCCAGACTAAAAAAAAAAGTTAAAAAAAAAGTCAGTCTTTTAAAAAAAGTTATAGCAGGTAATTTTTTTTTTTTTTTTTTTTTTTTTTTTTTTTTTTTTTTGAATGATATGTGGTGAATCGTGGTGCTTCTCCTATGATCCAGAAAGCAAGAGGCAGAGTGCAGAGTGGGTTGACCCAAACTCGCCAAAGCCTAAGAAAGTGCATTTAAAAAAATCCAGGGTGAATACAATGTTAGCTAGTGGATTTTTTTATTACAGAGGATTAATTCACCAGGAATTTGTTCCTGAAGGAAAAGTAGTAAATGAGTTGTTTTACATGGGTGCATGGGATCAGCTACTGAAACTCATCGCACTTGTGCGTCTGGACTTTCATGCAAACTAAAGTTGATTCTTGCTACGCAATAACGCGCCATCCTACAATGCAGCTGTTATTCGGCCATTTTTTTGGGGGGGGAAGTAATTGTGCTGTACCATTCCCTTTATTCGGTGAACTTATCACCACCAGAATATGTTTTTGTTTCCAAACATGAAATTAAACCTGAAAGGCCATCGATTCAATGATATTCAGACAATCCAACAAAACGCTATGAAATTTCAGCATGCAACCAGACATTTCAGCAAGCTATAGAATGGCTTGCATGACTTCACAAGAGTTTTATGTAGAATAATTGGTAAAAAGAAAGCTTTTTACTGCACTCATTTTTTAATGAGCTCAATATTAAAACATTTTAGCCAGACTGTGTAATTAAGCAATTATAGACTGATCACACATAAAAGATAAAAGTTCTCATGTTTTATTAGCTGGCAACACTCTGAGAATATGTTAAGAGAGGCTGTATGGAATAAAAATATCTTTTGCTTTACAAAATGGCAGCAAATGCCGAATCCAAATTATAATGATAAATGCATTGTAATGTAATTGTTGATTTTTCCGTTAAATCCTATGTGATATATCTGACTTCGAATCTAAAATTTTCTGAAGAACACAAAAACCTTGTCTAAAACTTAAAGGTTTATTTAACTGGAACTTCAACACTGATGAAAACTTAACATCATAAACGAAAACTTAACACCTTGGGTGGAAAACATTCAACCTTTCCAGCAATGCTTTAAACTGTAACAGCTATGCTGGCATGGTGAAGAACACTTTCTTTTAAAAGACAGAATCCATCTAGCCCTTTCGGCATATATCTCCATTCGCTGGATTCAGACTTCCGCTCCTACGTGTTTTGGACTTAAACGGCCAGACTGGAACTAAAACAGGACTGGATCAGGACCGGAACAGGACTGGAACCGGAACAAGACGGGAACCGGAACAAGACGGGAACCGGAACAGGACAGGAACCAGAATCTCTCATCCCCTGGCTTCTTCCCCGGGCAGGTCTATTCTGACTCGAACTAAAATGAACTGCGGTGCCACTAAGGAAAGCACCTCCTTTTATTGCCGGCGGTTGCCGTTACTACAGGCGATTATGCAAATATTTAACAGTAATGTTACAGACACAACATCCTAAAGTTTTGACTAAGACTATAGACGTTATTAATATTAAAGTTTATAATTTCCATTTGTTTTTAAATTTATAGTATAACCATTTAGCTACACTTTTTGTTTAAACCACTGTTTTTCAAGTATCTTGGAATGGTTTATATCTTTTTAAAATTCAAATTATAGTTAACAGAAGGGCATGTAAAGCATTTTTTCTGCATGCACAGAAATATTATATGTAACATGTCCTCTATAACTCATGGTATCAAAAAAATTCTTAAAACTACTTTTAATTCAGAATTTTTAATATCTTTAAAATAAATTTAAGTTAAAAATGAAAATTTTAACTTATCAATTAAGCAAACAAGTACTGTAAACCAATGAAAATATATGTCCTCTTATTTAAATAAATAAATTTATTACAACTTTGAGAAGAGGTTCACAATTTTAAAACAAACTCGTTTAAACCAAACAGCCAGCGGACGATAATATACAAGCAAGTTCTAATATGTGTACTTAATTTACTTACAATATAGCAGAGAGATCTTCTAAAAGCCTTAATTATAAATAGATGTTTTAAGAAAAGGCAATATTTTCTATAATGTTACAAAAACACCCACAATTAATTAGCAAGAAATAATTTACAGCACAAATGTCTGTATGACGTATCTTATACTCAAATGCTCTTGTCTGTAACTTCAAGTTTATCCGATGTGAGACGTTCTTTAAGAACAAGGTGCGGTAGTGCCGATTTGATTTGTGTTGGATTATATAAAAACGTATGCCAAACAAGAATAAAAAGGAAATAATTGAATTCGCCCCATGTCTGCAAGTTTCTGGTTTATACATCCATCTACCACACCAAGTTATACAATGAGCATCTTCTACCAAATTTCATTATATATACACACACATATATCTAAATAGCCCCTTAATGATTAATTTTGTATTTGGATATTTCCGCATTCTATTTGAAAAATAGTAATAACTTTTTCTGAACTGCGTCATTTTGAGCCTAATCAATACCATACGACTTTCATATAATGCTGGTAAGACAAATGGAACTACAACAGCCAATAATAATTTTACAGCATCATTAATTATCCAATCAAATGCATTGAAACTGAAAATCACTTATTCTGAATTAAGATTTCATCTTGTTCACAAGATATTTTGCTTGTATCTCTGTTCTTACCAAAACTCTGCTTGGTACGTTTCTTCCTATCGCAAAAAAATCAAAACTGTAACTGTTGTGAAACAGGCATGATTAATGTGCCAAGTATTTATGTGTGTTTCATTGCATCTATATGACTTCCAAGTTTCGTCTTTATTCCATATCTAGTATGTATGCTTCAGCTTCTGAGTCATTCCCAAATCATCATCATACATATATATGTGTGTGTGTGTGAAGCAAAATTATTAAACAGAATCAGCTGGTAACAGACCTCTAAATTCATAGATTTTAATTAAATACATCCTTGTTTCAAGGACGCACTATGCATCATTTTGCCTCACTCTGCAACATGTTACATCATGCTTTCCCTCCAATTTCTTTGTACTGCTAAGCCTTTAGCCCAGTCGCTGCTCAGGATTAAAACAAAAACTTTCTGAGCTATAAATATTACTGCAGTTATAACTTATCATTTTTTTTTTCTTGCTGGCTTTCTTTCCCTAAGAAAGTCATGACCCCTAGCCAAGCTTCCTAATCTATTATCTAAACTGTAAACTTTTTTTACATTTTATTGTGGAGGCACGCAATAGCTGGCCACCATTGCCTCCTATGATGGGACGGACTGTAACAACCATGCCTTTTGTGGTATTCGAACCCAGGCCCTTTGGTATAGCAGTTGGCTTCCCTTACCACTATAGTGTCTGTGCAGCCTAAAACGTAAACTGCATATATTTTTGGCAATGCAGTTTCTAAAAATAGTTAAAAATAAAAATGATGTTTTAACAATCACGTCAGTTATGATTTCTGCTCCAGTCAGATCTATGCAGTTTTTCTCCGCCATGTATAAAAAGTAATTGGTTTCATCTTCTCTCGTCAGCTCTCTGCTTAATTCTATCAAAGTAGCGCAACATCGAACCTCTAAAATACCGCATATGTGTATCTGTGTGTGTGTATATATATCACATTACTAGATTCCAAATTTTTTTCTTTCGATAAACTATGTTTATATATGAACATTTCTTTACTTTTTGGTTTCTTCTTAGAAACAGAATAATAAAGTAAATTATTAAATACTTTGCTTTACACATCACACTCTCACTACACTTGTTTCAGCTCTAATTCAGTTTACTGTAACATTTGCTAAACCAAATAAAGAGCAAAATAAGCAAATATATTCAAATGAAAACTATTTAAAAATAAATAAACCTCTTTTGAACTAAAAGACTTCAAACTAGAATGACAATGGAGACGCAATACCTGAAATTTAACCATTATTTCCTCTTTATCAGCATCTGGTAAATTTCCCAGCCTATGAAGAATACGGAGATGAGCACCTTCAGCTGATAAACCTAAATGAAACAATGTTAATGTTGTCTAAACAATGATATCTTATTACATAAACAAATGAGATTTGTTCAAAGTACAGCAAAATTTTTATTTTCTAGTGGAAACATTTGAGTAATACATCGATATTTCATATTTACTAAATTTTAATATGAAAATTTCAGTTACACATATATTATAAACATTAATTATTACTGTTGCATGTTTGCATTTTATAAAGACATGAGGAGGAGATAGAAATCTTGAGACAGGAGAATTTGAATCTTTACTGCAGCTCTAAGAGATCATAACTTTTACAAATGAATATCAGCTACAGATAGGTAAAGGAGAACAGAGCTAATATAGTAAGCCTCCTTAACAAAATAATAAAAATATACTGAATAATTGCGCTGAAAACCCACACCTTCGGAGTTTAAAACATGTAATAGAATTGCTAAAACGCTCATAAACTAAATGCTGGAAGAGCTAAATATGTGAAATTAATTGCATTTCAGTCTGCAAACAGGCCAGACTGGTGGCAGTGCGACCCAACAGAAATGCAAACGACCCCAAAAACAATTTCGCGACCGCAATCAGAACTTCGACCCTTAGATATATACCATCAATTCAGATTTTTTATGATTTTATCTGCCTTGTGACCCCATAATTAATTTTCGAGACTCCAAATAGAGTTATGACCCCCAGTTTGAGTACCACACAGAATGAATATTCATGGGATAGACTAAATCTCAACTGAGAAGTATTGCTTTTAGAAAATGGGAGCAAAGACGATACACAAACTTATTCTTCAAAACTCAGTCCTAGCACCTCGAAGATATGTCCAAAGTGTTGCCAAACAAGCGAGATATCGAAAATAAGGGCCAAGCCTGGTACAGTTTAAGAGCCCATATCCTCAGCACTCTTCGACCTATTTTTGCAATTCTGGCGTCTATTTACATAGAATTAAAAACAAAATCAAGGTCTTCAAGATTAAAAAAAAATTACAAAATACACCAATATTAAATTGTAATAAATGAGAAACAAAATAAGCAATAAATAAAAACAAATACACAATAACATAAAATACATAAAAACCAATATAGAACCAAAAATACACATAACCACAAAAAAGAAATAAGCACATTTACATCAATTACAAGTGCACATTGCTTAGAAACTGCTCAGTTAAGCAATGTGCTGATTTAATCCGGAAGATAAAAACAAAGCCAGTGAATATGGAAATCCTATAAAATATCAAACGTCAACCCTGTGAAATTATATGGTATTTCTCCCACTTTCCTAGCGTGCCTTCGTGGTGTAGTGGTTCTGCACGCTGGGCCAATATTCCAGAGGTCCGTGGTTTGATTCCCGGCGAAGGCGTTGCTAATTTTTCAAAGCAGACGCAGCACTCAAATTGTTTACAAAATGGAGTCAAGACAACAAACTGTGTTTCAGTATTGAAAAGACACAGATGATAGTTTTTCCAAAGGGCTCAAAAATAGACGCGAATCCACCACGCATAAAGTGGGAAGAGCATCCACTGCGACGCCAGGATACCATTAAATACCTCGGATTCAAGCTTGATAAGAAGCTCACGCGGGTATCACATCTTACGGAAGTCCGAGATAAAACGCATCGAATCATCAATAAACTAAACAGGATAATCACAGACAAGTGGAGTCAAAAGCGACGCCTATTAAAACATCTATACATAAATGCAATTGAACGCATGATCCTCTGCGGCTGCCCAGTCTGGATAACTCGGACAGCAAGAATATGTCAAAAACTACAACAAATACAGCGAGTAATCCTGTTAAAAATCACCCAGTGCGTATAGCACCACATCAGCCGCAGCAGTTCAGTTTCTAGCTGGCACGCCCCACTCGACCTAAAAGTAGAATTAGAAGGATCAATCTACCAACTTCTACACTACAAAGAGGACCTTCAAACTAAAGAAGATTTACATCTAGCCTATGCCAGCGTAGAAAGCTTCCAAGTTCCCCCTGTCTTACACCCAGGAATCTACCCATCCTTCCCTGGTGCAAATCGCCACCCTCAGGACAACACAGAGAGATTTTCTCTGACGGGTTAAAAATTTCAGGACGAGTAGGGGCAGCGTTCACGGTCTTTTCGAACAATGAAGAAATTTATCAAGCACAATTCCGTCTAAGCAACCATGCTTCAGTCTTAGAAGCCGAGTCCCTCGCACACAAAGAAGCAGCACTACGGTTAGGTACACAAACAGCAGCTCACACTTCATTCTTCACAGAAGCATGGGCGTTCTGAATGCGCTGAATTCCTTCCCTCCAAAACATCCGCACACCGGCAGCACTTACACAGATCCTCTTGACGTTAGGCTCCTTCATCCCTTTAAAGATCAACTGGATAAAAGGACATACCGGGTAGAAAGGCAACGAACGAGCGGATGAACTAGCTAAGACTGCAGCTTTCGAAACAGAAATTGGCAATGAAGTTCCGCTTTCCGCAGAAGTTGCAAAAAGGCTCCTCAAGACAACATTCTAAGAGACATGGTCATCACGGTGGCAGGAAGAAGAGACAGGAAGATTTACTTACAACATCTTCCCAATACCTACTCTCAAGAGGCTCAAATGCAACCGACTCTTCCTCCAGGCCTGTACTAAACACGGGAAATTCCCAGCGTATTACAGACAATTCCTTAGACGGAACGTCAACTGTTCTTGCGGTTTTCGCGGGGAAGACGTGGACGCACTTCATTATCCGCTCTCCTGCCCTCTGACAGAGCACCTTCGACAGCAGTTCGTTCCTTCCGACTACATCACATATCCTGCGAATAGACTGTTCACGGACTATTACTGTAACAAGGGCATCTTAGAGATAATGAAGAAAGTGAATGAAAATAATTATATCCAAGAAACAAAAGATTAATGTAAAATGTAGAAAGGCGGCCTAACCGTCACATTGCTATCAATGACTAGGATGACTTCCTAACCCTGTAGTGCTATTAACTTAGTTTGGCGGAACAGGTTAAGTAAAGTGGCCATATCTCTCCGGCCTCCAAAAAATCCTAATGTCTCTACAAAATATCAGATTTGATTCCATCAATTTTATAGCCATATAGAAAATTAATGGCAATTTTATGCTTCGTGACATGGTAACACTAATAATATCACGCGAATAATAAAATGCTCAGGGATCATAAGATAAAAAAATACTGGAAATACTAAGACTAGGCATAGCCAGACTGAGACTCACAATCACATGCAACTCTTTTCCTGTTAACAGCGACTTGCGATACAAGTAACCCTTTTTAAATAAATTTATTATTTGGTACACATGTTTTTAAATTTTTTTCGAAGAATGTAGCTAGGTCAAGCAGAACATGGAAAAGTCATTAATTCTTTGCCTCAAGTTACTGTCTTCCGAAATGAATGAATAATGAAAACGTTTCAGAGACGTATATATTAAGTGTCAGCGTTTTCGGTATACATAACAGCTCAGCTTTAACTTGACCAAGCATGTAAATAAAATATATGAAAGGGCACACACAGATTAAGCTAATGCAAAAAAATCATAAGACAAATTTTCCTGTGTAAACTGTCCTCACACGGTTCACCATAGTGCTATGCCCCAAAGGGAAAATTACATGGAAGTACTAACCGGATTACAAAATATTCCTGATTTTTTCCCCTCCCACATAGTTTCCTGATATTTTTTCATGGGGAAGAAAATGGTCAACACCCAAAGACGCAAGTCAGAGGAATAAAAGCTGACGAAACTCTCAGAGAAAAACTCCACCAAAGAGACGTAAAAACACTTATTGATAATTGCAGAAACGTGCAAACGGTCTAAGAACACTGTTAACGTACCAAGCAGTAGAACTACTCGAAAGGTTAAATATGAATTACTTGAATAAGTTAGCTTATGCTACAATTCTGTTACTCCCTTTCTATTCAAAACTGTGTTGATCTTGGACTTCTTTTAGTGCAGTATACAGCACGGCCAATTCCAAGCACAGGTAACGCCATGTGGCTATCTAGGGCGCCAGCTAAGCTGTTCTTACCAGTGACAGCTAAAAAGGTAGGTATATTTTGCTTTCAGTTATTAATATGTTTAGTTTATATGGGGCGGCAACGTCAGTGATCACCTAGGGCGGCGAAAATGCTATACCCTGATACTAGAGGTTGCTCTTTTGAACAAATACTATATAGACTAATTTTTTCTCGGGAAATGAGATAAATTAATAGTATCCTCAGGATTCGAAACACGGATTTTTCAATTGTGACCTGGAAGCTAACCACCAAGAGCAAGAGGGTTAAATTCTTAGATGGAATATCACGAAATATGAACAGTGACTAATATGAGTGAAACCAAGATTTTCACGCTACTGTAGAAACCACAGTTTTCCTTCGATTTAAATTTATCGCTATCATAAAAAATTTATACTTTGAATCAGAAGAAAATGCTTGGTTTTCTATTGAAAGAGAAAAATCAGTACATCGCAGAAAAGTTCAAAGTTTGCGAACTGTAGAGGTATAATTCTCTAAATATGGAGCAAGAGGAACTGGAATTATTTGCGTATGTAAATAACTATATATTTGCTAAATCCTTGCTAATGTATTTGTCAATTTCTTTCTATTAATTTTTTTTTCCATTTTTAAAACAATATGATCCACATATGCGGTTTTTAGAAAATCTAATTCCGGTACTTGAAATTTCAGAATTCTAATATACAGTTCCCAACCTATATCAAGTTTGACCACATCCTACATAGAAGTCTTAAATGTTGAAAGTTGGCACTTACAAAATTGTGTTTCTTTTAACCAGCCTATAAACGCTAGTGTGATGTTAAATTTATTATCTACAAGAAATCAGCTTACAGATTACTAAGACAGAGTACACTTACCTTCAACTTCTGAACAAAGCATATGAAACCAATGCATAGGACAGGAATCACAAACGATAAGCTTCGGCACAGGGGAACTTTTAGATGCAAGTTGTTGATAATTCTGATGAGCTCGACTAAAAGCTAATTTAAGAGTCTGCATCATTTCATCCACCTGTAACATCATAAAGATAATTTTGTTTTAATATTTGAAGATGTAGGCAATGAAAATATGAATAATTTCTATCAACCATCCTCTTGTACAAATAATCTGTCACACTGATTAACACAGATAAAAATAAATAAAAAATAAACAAAAGTTATAATACTGACCCATACCGGGAAAACAATATCCGCTCGGATAAATTCTTGAAATGCTATAAAATGTAATTGCAGTGGGATCTATATGGATTTCAAGCAGAATTTTGATTTTATGAAATTCAATAAGAATGCTGATGAAACTGAGGCGAAACTGAAAGATTAGTTAACAACGGCTAAACACATAATAGACAGAACATCTTTTTAGGAGACGATGTACAGCACAGGGGGAGATGTAGTATCTTGCATATTTTACACAACAAGAACAGGCGTATTGCTTTTTGAAGTAGGACCAAAATTACGAGTGCGCATATAAACATCTACATTGCGAACGAGTACTTGAAAAACTAAAAGAACTTTTAACAAAACAGTTTTGCTAATATGCATACTTGATACCTAGGATTGCAAAAAAGCTGTCACATTATGGTACAGTGAATGCACAATTAAAAAAGGTTGGCTGGCTGATCATGCAAAATCACACTAGATTTCATCGCCCAGGGAGTAAGCATGTACAGAAAATTTTCTGAAGCACAGTGGATCATACTTACATTGGGGGAGGGGACAAACAACTTGTTCATTCAGAAGACAAAAATTTATGGATGAACTACAAGCATTCTGACGCTTTGTCCCTTAGCCGCAGTAGAGCAGAATGAAGTGACAAAGTATATCATATACTATTCCAGTGATAAAAGAAATGAAATTTGTGAAAAAAGGATGATCATAAGACAATAAAAACTGTCAACTAGGGATCCGAAACTATGGACATTTATTAGACTTGTTCCTATTACATATTTTTATTACGAGCCATTTACACTTAACAGTATTTACTTGCATTATACACTTATACTCAGAATTTTTGCTTATAGTGTAAGAAAGCAGTCAAGTAATCAGAATGCTGTGAGGTAATTCGTCGCAGTCTCCTACGAAAGTCGCAGTCCTACCTTTTAAGGAATATGGTCCTTATTTACTTCGCCATAATCAATTAACCAACCAATTATATTTCAACAATACATACAACTTATTTGTATATTATTAAAAAAAAAAAAGAAAAGACAGTTACGCATTGACCGAGATATTTTACAAATTTCAAAAACCATGTGAAAATACCTCGAAATAAAATTACACAAGGCAAACACCTTATGAATACCTGCGGATTTTCTGAGCTAATAAAAATTATATCTACGAGATTCTGTAACAATTTCCGCATCTAGTATTTATCCACACGAAAATTCAATCCAGAAAAAAAATGAAGCTGGACAGTACTTATAATGATTAAGTTTAGATTACAGCATTTGAGGAGGCAAATGGAAAGGCACGACTGAAAAAGCGAACATTGAAAATTTTCGTTATTATGACTTATGACTATGCAGATGCGGGTGTCTGATTAATAGAGTGCGGTGTCTGGCTATCTAGTGGTGCCGAACTAATATATATTCAATACATTTCAGAAAAAACCATGAAAACTTTACGAAGGCAGCCTGCTCAGCCCGAAAGTTTGTATGTAATGTATGTTCGAAGTAATTATGTTATATTAATCTGCCATAATCCAACTTTGTTTAATGTCAATCTTTGTAATATTGTATCTGGTTTGTAATTGTATATTCAATACGTAAGTCTAGTATTGATGTAAAATTACTATGTAATGTCTAGGTAGGCTAGCATCCGATGCGGGCCAACTAAAAGCCCAGCGGGCTACAGTAGTGCGGCGGAGCAACACCTGTAAAAGTCACTGACGAAGTTCTGGTGCTCCGTCCACTTTTCCCTGTCCCTGCTCAGCCCGCAGGTAGTTCGTTTACTATGTTCTGCAGCTTTAACCTCTCACCCAATGGAAAGCCATTCTAAAGAAATGTAGTTTAAAGCTTTTATTGTATTGAATTATACATAATCAGTATGAAATGCGCCATTCTAAGTCATTGCTGCTTTCCCCACTGAGGACCTGATTATGATAGCCCAGGGCCTCAAAATACAGAATTTTTTTCCAAGGGCCTCTAAATCCTGCTTCCATTTTATAAAGGAAAAACAGGATTTCGAGGTAAAGAAGATGTTTTTTATACTTCCCAGGGCATTTCGTGATGCATGGGACGCTGTTTCACGCCTTCGTTGTGTTAAATAAAGTTCAAAGCATTCTACTCCACTGTGCAGATTAAAAAGCAATCTTTTAACGCAAGACTGGATTAGGCAGACCTTGTTGCCTACTTTTTCCCCCTTGCTGCCTCTATGCTTGGTCAAAAGGCTCCAAAGAGACGAAAAAATAACCCCTGCAGCTCATAATTAATAGGAAAAATTTGATATCCTAGGCCTAAATCCTGTATGTCTAGACGCAATCAGATTATGATCCTCTACCAATGCTCTTCCGGGGTCTGCTTTCTTTGTTTTTCTGAGGAATTATAGGATGGATTCAGGTCCTTTAAAAACTGAGGCTTCATGACGTAATTAGAGCCTATTTTTGCTGAAACAACTAGAATCCAACGCCATTATCTCGATGATTCAAAACAATTTCGTTGGCTTTTGAAGAGAGTTCATAGATACAAAACTATTATAGAGAAGCACAAGATATAATATTATCACAAAGAACTCCGTACATTCTTCTTCAGCTAAAAATGTACTTTTGAGAATATTCTCTCGACACCACGGTGTTACTAATTGAGGCAATTAAGGAAAAGGTAGCTTAAAAACACTTTTTAATAACTATGAATTACATCCAAGCACTTCGGAAATTACAGACAAACTGGATTCTGAATTTTCATTTTCCTATAATTATCTGCGAATGTGACAAAAACATTTACAAAATTACAAGTAATAGATGGAACAGATATTGTTTAATATTTTGTAATTTGAGTGACTAAAAAGTAAATATTTAATAGAAAATAATGAAAAACTCACGTGTATAGTTTAGAAGTAAGCTAGAGAAACACCAAAGGAATTCTCTGATGTCAATCAAACTGAAAAACAGCTAAATTTCAGGAATATGGCGTTGAAAAAAAGGCGAATCTGAAAACTCCGTATTGCATTTATAATCTACTGATCAAATCTTACTAATCTTCGACAGAAGACAATATCAAAGTTCCTTTTTCACTTTCCACTTTTAAAGTGATACGATGTAGAGCAGTCAGAATTTTAATAAGCTGCCAAAAACGGAAGAGATAAGGAGAAAATTTTCATGTATACTAATTAAGATTTTGAATCGCATCTAAACAAAACAAACACAGGAAATCTCAGGAAGTTTCAAAATGGCCAAAATTTCCACTAAAGGTAGAACCAACAAATTTTTGCTAAAAAATGCGCCTTTCATTTTTTATACAAAAGTCTGCTAAAAATGCGCCTTCCATTTTTTTATACAAAAGTTTTGTATTAGCGAACAAAATAAAAGTAATACATGAATTATAGCAATAAAAATTTTTCAATCCAATTCTTAAATCATATTTTTGGTTGGATATTTGATTGGTCAATTAGATAAAGCATTCCGGGAGAAATTCTTACGCAGGTTTCTAACAATTTATACGCTTATCTATCAGCACTGAAAACCACAGAAAACGATTAGCAATCATTTTATTCATTTAGCCACTTATCTGCTGTATCTTCAGAAATGAATAATATTACATAAAATGCACATCAATATTAAATTACATACTTAGTTAAAAAATTGAATTTTTATTAAGAACAAATAAGCAAATCATACTTTACTCAGGAACCTTATTCGATTAGCCAAGCATAAAAGTACTGCCAGTTTAGAAAAGATGTCTAAATTTTATCAAAGAAAATTAACTCTCAGGTCCCTTGCATATAAAAAAATGCAGGCATATAATTATACTTCTCCTAAGAACGAGTCCAAGATTAAAGTTCTACTGAACGACAAAATAGCACGTAAAAAGACACAAAAGCATTATATGGGTGAATATCATTCAGAAAACATGCTTTATTGATTTCATTCAGCCCCATCCGATAGAAATGTGAAAGACATTTATTCATAATATTTGTATACTCCAAAAGTCTAGCAGCAAAAGGCTTTCTTTTGTTTAGAACTTCCGTTAAGTTTGTTTAATCATAATATTACATGAAAAAGGAGCCGAATTGCACTCGACTACCGAAAAGAAAAATACATAATAACTTGTAAAATGTTTTCTCGTGAGCAATAGTTTTTATCAACAGCATGAGACTTTCCTACATATGGCAAGTAATAAATCGATGGTTGAAACAAAGCAGAAATTTGCAATAATGATTAACAGAAAATCTTTTAAATTAAGTTTTTAAACAACGAATTGAGGAAACAAACTACCAAGTTCAAATGCAGGTAAAAGTGTTATTAATCAGTTTCATATGAAAATTATTGAAACTAAAGTGATTAAGCAAAGCTTATTTATCTGCAAGGACTCACTGAAGCTAAACTATGTTCTTGAAACACCCTTAAAATAAATTTCAAAGAAATATGGATATGTTACTCAAAAAATTTCAGACCCTGAATATGCCTAATGTATTCCGATTCCCCTGCCCTCCAAAAATGCAAATCTTCAATTTCAATCGTTAGAAAAACTAAGACCCCCGCCCCATAGTTATGATTATTCCGTTAGTACTACAATGCATCAACATACATTGTAAATTCCTTATTTTTAATGACGGTATAACAAAATCTTTAGCTTCCGTGATAAAGAGAAAAACTAAAATTTTCATGTATAAAGCCAAATAAAATTACCTACAGAATTTTATTTCAAGAAACTGATAATGCTTCTTAGGTCCATGATACGAAAATCTAACGAAATGCCATCCTGAAACCCTTTTCTACAGTTAAGTTCCTTCCCTAACCGAATACCATCTTAAGTTTCTCTAGAACTTAATAAATGCCACATCACAATGCTTTAATGAAGCCTATTCTTATTGAAAGGGGACTTCGTAAACATCTTTTCTTCGGTAAGTTTTGTATAAGTAAATACCAATGTCAAGAGATGTCACATTAAAATTCATCACTGAATCACCCTAAATTACTTCTGCTTTTTTTTAAAGAAAAGATTACCGACTTTCGGCCAGTTGGATATAAAATTACTGCTTGAAATCGATTCCAAATAACTATAAAACCATACCTCAATAAACGAGTCGTGCTTCGGTAAATTGTAAAAGTTAAACCAGAACACTACTCATATTAGATATCACACAGCCATATAAGTTGTATAAGTAAACACCAATGTCAAGAGATGTCGCATTAAAATTCATCACTGAATTTCCCTAAATTACTTCTGCTTTTTTTAAAAAAGATTACTGACTTTCGGCTCGCTGGATATAAAATTACTGCTTGAAATAGAATCCAAATAACTATAAAACCATACCTTAAAAAACGAGTCGATCTTCGATAAACTGTAAAAGCTAAACCAGAACACTACTCATATTAGATATCACACAGCCATATATGTTACATGTGTAATGGCCCACAAATGAAGTGCAATATTTAGACTCTAACTTTCGAATCGAATCCTGAAGCTGATGGCATTTAAATTAAATCTTACTGAACAGTAGCCGAAAGCTTATTTGAAAATGTGATGCCAAAAAGATGGTGGATATGCCTTTAGGCTGAGGAGAAGGGAACAAATAAAATTTCTCACTTCATCATAAACTTCAAGAAAAATTTAATATAACGTCTTTCAGCATCACATGGGAAAATAAATATGATAACTGAAAATCTCTAAAAAACATGAAGAATGATTCGAGAGAAATTTATTAAAAAAATGTCACTATATTTCCCAAAATAAAGGGCGTTCATAAGGAAAATAAGCGTTCAGATGTATCAGTTCTAGCTCTTAAAATCACGATGAAAGAATGTTACATTTAATGAGAAGGTAAAAATTACAAATAAACTGAAATAAAATATCTTTTTTAGCATTTCATTCAAATAAACATCACCATGAGCTGCTATGAGCAACAGTCGGGATTGAAAGAATTACCTAAAGTTCTAGGTTGAAAATCTTCTTCGCATTCTTTTATCTAATACTTTATAATAACAGGTTAACTGTCTACATATTTTTTTTAAAACTTACCTTGGATTCGTAAGTGTTTCTTAGCATTCTAAAAATAACTGTAGTAAATGTTCCTCTGAAATTATAACTCACCAAAATTTATTTTTTGACACGTGGTGATATCAATACGCATGAATTTAATTAGTAAAGGTGCTTAGAAATCAAAATAAATTTATGCCAGTCAAGTGATCATAAACTGAATTAATAAATAACCAATTCTGCAAAGTAATATGCATAGTTAATGGTCTTAACCATATGCAAATTATTTTGAACTATTCATGCTGAAGATTAGGTCTAATTTATTTTGTTGAAGGTACTAAATAAAAAGTCTAGATATTTACATCACAGGTGAAATTTATTTCCTTTAAAACTTATACGTGTGCCTGTAAATTAAAAAAAAAACTGAACACAGTTCATTAAAATTAACAACTTTTATCATAAAAAGTATTAAGGTTTGTGACTGTGAAGCAAAAAAACATAAAAATTCCAATTAAATAATAAAGCAGTTTCATCTAAGTTAAAAATTTATTTACAGTCTTGTATTTCTGACATAGCACAAAATATAATACAAAACAAAAGAAATTAAAATAAATCGGTAACATACAAGGTGAAACTAACCACTTTTTCAGTTTGACAACGAAAAATATAGCCAGCATAACAATCAGCACCAGATAAAGTAGTTTCTCTACATATGAAACCAAAGTGATCTAAGTGCTTGACACCCTAAAAAAAAAAGACAATAACTTCAGGATAACTCAAATGAATACATTTACTTTAAATTTATAATGCAAAGAATATTTATAGCAAAGCAATAACTGTCTTTCAAATTAAATTAAATATATATTATTTATATTACTTTAATAACAGTATAATACACGATTTTAATAATAATATATACAACAGATTTTATAAACGCATTAATGAGAATGCATACCAAAATATGCCCTCTAGCTTTAGAAACTGAATCCAATTCCTCAATATAAATTATAATTCTAGAATAAAAAATATCGCCAACACGTAATTATTTGGCAAAAGAATATAAATGATATGCAAGATAAAATGATACAAAGGACATTTTATTATTAACTACTTCCGGCAATATAATTTGTTAGATATACAAACCACTCCTTTCATCTATAATCTTTTTCCATAACTTTCAACGTTATTCATAATAATAATTTATTCCAATCTTATCGTAAACGTTGTTTTATTTATCATAAATGTTTTTTTTTGGGGGGGGGTTATTGTTATCAATGTTTTCTTTTTGTGACAAATGAAACTCTTTTGCAAAAACAAATTCTTCTCGGGCTATTGATAATTATGCAAGATGTACATTTGGCTGATTAACTTAACTAAAAAAAAAACTATTTCGATTAGATTCTGTAAAACGTCTTGTCGATTATAAAAGTATACATCTTTGGAATCACAAAAATATATTGTTTTACTCGTTAGATCTAAAGAAAGAGATGAAAGCTTGACATTTCAAAACTCTTCTGTGGCATTAGAAACTTAAAGTTATTGCTGAAAAATAATAAATTGACATTATAATCTTGAAATGTTAGGCGTGTTTTCAATCAGACACAAACTAAATATTACAGACACCTGTCTAATGAAAAAAATGATATTATTAAGATTTTCTAGAAGGAAATAACGTTAAGAAGTTTACTAATTAAATGAAGTCAGTTTCTACAAATGAGTTGGTGTTCCACATGAACTCAGTTACTGAATTATTCTCTTGGACCTCAAGTAGGTATCCATTATGAGAAAGGCGTTCTGACTGTTCTGTTAACAATAATAATTTTGTAAGTTGATTACAAGTAACTGTCATCAACGTTACAGGTTCCATACTCTATTCCACGTATATGTCCACAGACACATTTCATATGCGTATGCGTCTATTCCTATGTATTCATCTAAATATCTCCCTTCTAGTGAAGTCACGCTTAAAAGACCTTGTTTTATTTAATATGGTGTGTCTTGATGGAAACTATAAAATACACTGTTAGTCATTATAATTCTTGCACCGTGAAGAAACACAGCAGAATCATGTTTTATTTTACACAATTTCTGGTAGCTTTGGAGAACAGAACACGTAGAAATCATTATCTCGAGCATCCGCCTCAGAAAACAGATGAGTGAAGATCGAAAGCAATACACAATGAGCCGTAAAGACAAAGCCAAAAATGCATGCCAAGTTGAGTAAGTGGCGATTTGCTGGCTGAGTACAGCTGCTACTACACAGAAATGAAGTGACACAGGAAGGAACCAAAAACATCGAAGGGCTGTGATTGTTTGGAGGTGGAGCTTTGCTGCTGACTGGAGGAGAAAGTAATCATGCCAAAAATAACCAAGATTACATAGCTGGGGAGGGGGACTGAACTCAGAGCCATCCTTTTAGACGGGCAAGGCAATGGAGCAGGAATAATATGAATAAAAATAAAGTTATATTAAATTAAAAGATCAATAGTGACCCAGTAAAATAACATAGTCTCTGGGATAAAGTTTAAATGGCAGTTACAGGTACTGCAGCTCATGCAGCTTCAGTTCTATGCCAAAGTTAATTGTTGTACTAGCCGGCGAGTTTGTTGGGAGAATATCTCTGAAACCACTAACCAGACGTTTTCAGTTAGTGACACATGTGAAGGATGCGTTAGCCAGGGCAGGCGTTAAAGGCCTTGTGTGTCGAGAAACACATTATCGAAAGGTGGAATGAAGGAGGCCAGGAAGGTATAGCATAACCTCAGAAAAGTAAAGATGGCTGATCAAATTTCTCTCAAATGCAGACCAGAAGAAATCAGGATATTGCTATCGGTGGCATCTTTACAATTAACCCAGGTGCTAAGCCAGTGTGACGATGAAGAATACAAGCTTCAAACGTTTGGTCTCCTCTTTCACACACGTATACGACTATCAGATAAATGTAAGAAAAAGCGGGATCTAAGATGACGTAACGCGACTGATGATCCAATAACATCTTTGAACGCACCACTGCAGGAGCTAATTCTTGTGCTGTAGCAAGCGTCAAAAGAAGCTGAAAGAGTAGTAGACTTGCTGAAAATCCGTGAAGTTGGCAAATGTCGTCGCACAGTACGTATGAGTGCTTGCAATGCACCTAGCTTCTTGATCAAGGGTGTACAATGTGGCTGTACAGTCTCTAACAGCGATGAGGGCAAGGTGACTGCCCTCTCGCACTGCAGACGTTGCTAACTTGCATCTCGCACGTCGTTTTATGAGGCCCGCCTGGACCACCCATTACAATTTATCATAACATCATTCGATCTCGACCAAAGAGAACAGCAATTGCGCGGTACGATAATCCGCAGTCCCCGGTAAGCTATGATTCTCCCTCGATCGCATTCTCACACGTGCTGGCATGAATTCCTCCTTTTTACACGAAGCATAACAAAACCTCCAACACACAAAAAACAACGCCTAAATTAAGGCATAAGGCCACCTGTGGTCAGGTGAGTGGGCTGCTCCCCACAAACAAACAACCCCCCCCAAAAAAAAATTGCGATTTCCAAGTGGAAAATCAACCTTTCGATCTGCATTTCCTTCGTGGTGTAGTAATTCTAATAGCCAGCAGCGTAATTAAGAATAAAATTACGTACTGATGTATTGTTACTTATTTATCAATAGAGAGAAGAAGACAAAAATACAATCGATTTCGAACACAGTGGCTTTTGAAAATTTGAAAGACACGATACTGTGCTTTGCATAAACTGAAAACTTCTCCATCGGGATTAATAAAGGGGGTAAGTAAATTTTCTCTTAAAATTTCTACAAGTTTATTTCTCTAGAAGGAAAGCCTAATCAAGATAAATTTAATGACGTATTTCGAAGTCAGAAACATTCAGGTATAAATTTTTTAATCTTTGTGATTGTCCAGTTTGATCACATATTAGGTAAAAGCTCATTATGCTTCCTAGTAATTAGCAGTGTTTCATAAAATTAGGCAAAGCAACAACCCTGTGTTTGGCGTAGATTTTAGTCAAAACAATCGATTTCGTGGGCAAATTCCAACATAATTTCTGTTGACACATGGAGCTACATTCTCGTTCGCTTTACTACTTTTGCGTATAAATACAACCGTGAAAATTTCTTTGCTCCTGATGAAAAGGAACCTGCATCTGTTTGCCGTCGAAATCGATATTGTCATGACTAAAACTACCCCAACACAGGGTTGTTGTTGCTTTTCCTAATTTTATGTTTTACTTTCTGTTCGTCTTAATCAAAGGTGTTGCTTACGAAGAAAACAAAGAATAATAATTATTCATTCAAAAGAGCTTTCAGTATAAGAATATTAAACCAGCAGATTTGTCACCATAAGCTATTCCTTAACTGAGATTGTTTTTAAACTTACAAATTATGAAACTAATTCAACATGTTATTACAGATTAATACATAAAAAACTTTTGCAGTTTTAGGATGCTATAAATGCGCATAATCATAAAATTAATGTATTGTCAAATTACTCAGTTACTGTAATATTTTTGACTAAATTTATAAATTATTAAGCCTGAACTGGAACTTTCAAGTTAACACTGCTTAGTAACTGTTTGAATCATTAAAAAGGTCTTATTCAGGTAATTCGCATAGAAAGCATAGTGGCATCAGGCCATAAGAGCATATAATATGTTTCTTATCCATGCGTCATACGTTATGGCCTTCTGTCCAGGTGTAAGCATCCGATTTGTGACTTTCATTTGTCCATTAATAAGCCTATGATTCTTAGAGAATAACTTAATTCAACATAGATTAATGTTCAAAATTATAAAGCATATAAATTTTTAGTTAAATAAATCATCATGTCATATTTACTATATCTTGTATTTCTGACACAAGATCCATAACACAAGCTAATTAGTAGAGCTTAAGGATAACGATAAATGAGCAGGACAAAACTTATCACCCAACTAATTGGGTTGCTTTTTAGAATTTGTGGCTAAACACTTTGTTTCTATCGTCCATATTTAGGTCAAATTTGGAATTTTTTTGGAGGGGGGGTCCTTTTTTTTAAATGAAAAAGCACATACAATTTATAAACAACACAAAAACATCTGACATCTTGTCAAGTCAAGGCTTGCTTTCCTGAAATTTTCTTAAAACTTTGCAAAGAGGATACATTTTCTAGGCAGATGGCGTAAAACATTTTAAACACATAACTTAAGAAAAACACAGAACACCATATTCCAAACTAATATCCCATTCGATCGCATTCCAAATCAATCAACATTCCAAATAATCCTCATTCAAAACTAATATTCATCTCTATCTAATATATTAGCTTCTGAAGCAATCCTTTCCTGAAAACTCGGAGGAAAAAAAAAAAAAAAAAAAAGACCGTCTAACCAATGACAGACTTATAAGGTGGGGCGGCAGCAAATCCACCAAAATTTTCGCATGCCCCCTAAGACACAAGGTACATTTAATTTTTTTAATTAATTAGTGATTTGGAAATGAAATGAACTGGAACGCTGGACCCTCGTGATTCTGACTTCGCTAAAATTATTTAGTTATATAAAAAATTCGTAACAATAATAAAAACCATTGTGCATTATTTTTTATAACTTACAGTGATTATTTTTTATAACTTACAGTGATTGTTTTTTTATATGTTGTAGCTTCTTTATTTTGCTGAATTAAGATTTTTATAACTAAGCCTTTTTCGATAACAAAGTAGATTCTAAAATTTCCTCCCCCACCCAATGCATACTATTTCG